CCCTAAGCTGTTTATTTCCTGTCAAAGAGTTTCGGTGACGTTGTGGCGTATAAATGTCTTGATCAGACGCAGGTGCGGTGTGGGAGGGACATGTGATCGGATTCGCTCCGGAGGCTGGTTTTGACTGGGACCACCATGGTGCGAATCTAAACAAGCTAAAATGCCAGTGAAAGTGGCTCCAACTCTTTGTGACAAAACGTAGCAATGTGGAGTGGTACATGCACTGTGCACATTGTATGATATTAAATAATCACCTTTAAATGTCTGCATCTTTCATAACTTATATTAGCACATGCTCTAATACATTCAGCCATAGTGCTTATATTAGCAATGTCAGTAAACAACTTGTGTCCTTTCTAACTGCTTTTTCCTTTATATCGTGTCCTCTTATACTGTACTATGAAGTCAAATTGAAAAATAAACATAACTATTAATTTCACCCAAAGCTGATTTCGCTATCGGCCGATAATCGCTTCAGGAAGTTTGATCGGCGGTCTCTATAAAGGCTGACCTCATAAACCTCATTAAGCTTAAAGGGGTTCTATTATGCCCTTTTATGAAGTCTTGATTTTGTTTTTGAAGCGTACAACAATGTTTTCATGCTTGATTGTAAAAAAAAAACGCATTATTTTTCCACATATTTTACATTATTACAGCTCCTCTCTCCTCTCGAATGCGTCGTTCTCGATGAAGCCCCTCCTTCTGAAATGTGCTGTGATTGGTTAGCAGTGTGTTGCCATTGGCAGTGCTTAGTGCGTGATCGGGAAATGTCACGCCCTTCATAACCGCAAACTCTACTCAGATGTAAATATTAACGATGCCATTAATTTAAAACCAGGTGATTCAGACCCTGACAACGTTAGCGTTATCCAGGAAACACCATCCAGTATTATTTTACGTTTGAAACCTTATTAAATTTCTGTATTTCTGACCTCAATACTACCGTTAGACCTACCTGAAGAAAGCACTGTTTATTTTATTTGTTTATCTTTACTCTATTTTATTCATTTGTGCCACTGCTTGTAAATTGATTCTTGGTTCTTATTTTATTACTGACTGTTTACTTGTCTTTTTTTGTGAATTCAGTTCGGAGTTTGAAATCAGGCTTGTGCTGTGTGTAAGCTATTGTGCAACAGTTGCCCCGTTGTAAAAACAAAAATACACTGCATGATCAAACATTTAAGTGAGATAATTATATATATTTTTGAAAAAAGTCTTAAAAATGGCCCTCTCCAGATACTGCTTCCTGTGATCAACTCCAAAAATCCTGATCGGAGCACCTTTAATGAATACTGTTCAAACAAAACACAACATTTGTAAAAAAAATAAAAATAGACTGTAGGACGTCAAATCATCAAATCTGATCAGTGAAGACTAAATAGTGCTGTGGGTAATTTCTTCCATTTGCTTCTTTATGACACCATCTCCATTTCCTTTTCTACCTAGACATGTTGATGGACCAAAGAGTTTGTGCCTATTTCTACAGGTTTAATTCAATCTTGGACTCGAGTTTGGTCTTAAGTCCTATGAATGTTCTTGGATTCTTGTTCTCACAGCACTTGATATAATTAAACGTATTAATTTGATGGCGGATCCAGAAAGGTTCAAACGACAATCACCAGTGACAACAGATTCGCCCGCTGTAAAATGCAAAAGACTTCGTTCGGACTTCGGAGTGGCTACAGAAAAAAAGAGACTGCAACCGGCCCATGCGAAAACAAGGACACATATCGGAAGGACATTACATGTAGTCACACTATGCTGACGTTGTTAAAGGGATAGTTCACTTTGAAATTAATTTTTGATATGTTTTAGCTTACCTCAAGGGCATCCAAGATGTAGGTGTCTTTGTTTCCGCAGTAGTTTCAATTTTGATATTTTTAGGTCAAACCGTTCTTGTCTGTCAGTCATATAATGCAGGTCTATGGTCACCACCTCAAAGAGCATGCACAGAGAAGTCCAAATTAAACATGACTTAATGACTCGTAAATGTAAGTACACATTGATGGCCTAAGACACGAAACGAGCGGTTTGTGTGAGAAAACGAACAGTATTTATATCGTTTTTACCTCTTGTAACCACAGCCACGTTCAAGTGATCATTCTGAGGTCGCGGGCGCTTCGCTTCGGGGAAGTGATCTCTCGCGCGTACACGTCACTCATTGTTTAAACAGAGCAGAGATTGTAGGTAAGACGGCTAATTAAAATGGTACTAATTTGCGCTTATCCGGGATGTTTAAACCGTCGTAAAATAAAACAATTTAAAAAAAATAAAAAATAAAACAATTGTATGAGTGACGTACACGCGCGAGAGATCACTTCCGGCGCTTGCCGGAAAAGACCGAAGCGCCCGCGCCCTCAGATCACTTGGACGTGGCTGTGGTTACAAGAGGTAAAAACGATATAAAACTGTTCGTTTTCTCACACAAACCGCTCGTTTCGTGTCTTAGGCCATCAATGTGTGCTTACATTTACGAGTCATTAAATCGTGTTTAATTTGGACTTCTCTGTGCATGCTCTTTGAGGTGGTGACCATAGACCTGCATTATATGACTGACAGACAAGAACGGCTTGACCTAAAAATATCAAAATTGAAACTACTGCGGAAACAAAGACACCTACATCTTGGATGCCCTTGAGGTAAGCTAAAACATACCAAAAATTAATTTCAAAGTGAACTATCCCTTTAACATTTACAATTTGAAAAACAAAGTATAATTTGCACGGTTTTGCGTGATATTATAAGCGATTGTTAGATTTAATCAGCGTGATTTACTGCAATGCCAGAACCAGAACAAAAGTGGATGTTTCTTACTAGTTCAGATGACATTTTCCGGTGAAAATTCTTATGTTGGTCATACTCCCAAAAAGAATAATCTGTGATTCTGAATGCCAGTATCCACACCGGCACGGTGATTGACAGACATACACTCCTCAAACATTGTTCATCCGCGCTGTGCCATGTCGAAGTACAACTCACGTAAAGTTGATAATTCCGCGAATGACTGCAATTGCAGATTTCGAACAGAGATGGCGACAAAGAGGAAAAACTGCAGACTGCAGCTTTAAATATTTGTGACTGAAAATCGTGTCTGACATAAGTAAGGGAAAAGAAAGAATTTCGACAAAATTAAAAATATGGAATACGAAGGGGAAAAGGGCAGGACTTGTTCCCTTCACTTTTAATAAAACTAAAATTTGTCCCTTGCACTCCCCCTGTAGTCAATCATTTTATCCCTTAAAACTCATCTTTGGTCACCAAAATGATATATCTAAATGTTTTTTTCCTAGATTTTTTGTCATGCCTTAAAATAGCTTGAATGTAACTCTACACACCCTTGGCTCATTTAGTGTATGCGGTTCTATGAATATGTAAATGAGCCCCGCCTCCACTCACTCACTCAGCTCAGAGATCCACTCGTTGACGATCACACGTTGATCTGATTGGTTACAACTGGGTTGTTTGTGACGTCAGAAAACACCAGCGATCTCAAACCGTGTTTTTGAGACTGTCTTTGGTTCACTGCAGTTTTAAGGAGAAAATACTCAGGAATGGTGTTGCACATGGTTTGTCTTAAAGCATATTAAAAACACCCCATAGACATACAGTATAAACAACATTAAAAGCTTGATTTTCACCATTTTGTGTGCTGCCTATAACTGTGAATAGCCCTCTAACATGGCACATTTTGTACTTTCCCCCATCTCTGGCACTCATTTCAGTTCATGGGGCCTCTGCTAATGAGCTGATAATGTTGAATCAGGTGTGATATTAAATATGGGAGCTGGAGTACTAAAGGTCCAACAACACTGATCTGACACACTCACAGCTCGGCCAAAGCTTGGCTTCTGATCACTCCTGAAAATGATGCATGATTTTCTTCTCTTCTGCTTCTCATTGCCACAAAAATAAAAATAGCAAGACAACACAAATAGGATACAGTTGCATTACTTGGCCATCAGCGATCATAAATGCCTTGGTCTTGCACTGAACATTGTGTCCCTCTCTGTCTCTTGAAATCCTCACTACACCCCTGCAAAACAGTCAGTTTTCTTAATCTGCTAGAAGACATTAAGACACAAGAGAGACTAAAAAATGAGGCCCATTGTTTGTACCTTTAACTGTTGATTATACTTGTAAAGCTCCCTCTTTAAATCAATTCATTGTGTTTTTGAATTTCATCCCATTCATACAGCATGTTCTTTGTTATGAGATTTTGAAATTATCAATCACAATAATGGGACACAATCAAGGCATGTTTGGTTTAATTTGAATTGACACATTGTTCTTAGTTGTAAAGGTCAAAATAAAGCTAGAACAATTGATGTAATAGTTTAATTCAGGCCCGAAATTCACTTTGTGATCTTGGCCAGTCCTGACTCAAACAAAATCATATCTAATAGTGTGCTGATATCATGCTACAGATTAGCGGTTTAAAGTTCACCATAATTTTTTTTTTCACGGTTTGACCACCTTTTAAAATGTTACAATGTAACAAAATTATATAGAGATCAAATATGCATATAGACACTCAGTGCTCTTCAGTTTTCACTCAGCATGTTCAAAATAATGTTCAGTTTACCCCCGAAAACCTCGCCATGCCATAAAGTCAACAGAGAGACAGCATGAAACAGCATGCGAAACAGCAAGCCTGCTTCTCAGCTCCTTCCTATTGTCTGTGTTGGGCTGTGCTGGGGAAAAAGAGGAGTTGTGGAGTGTTGCAGTGGTGGAGGGGGTGTGTATGGACTAAAGGCTTGTTTTGGGGGAAATCTGGAACCAATATGCTTCAGACAATTTCAAGAAACTCTACAGCAGAGTCTTTGCCACTACCTTAGATCGAGCCCCCCTCCTTATGGCTCTCTCCTCCAATCACGGCACGCATTGCCTTCCTGTTTCCTTCGAGCGGCTCCACCCCTCAAACAATCCAACTCTCAACCAATCGCTGATCAGAGTAGGTAGGGCTTTTCGAAGACTTACCACTGGCCTTTATAAAAGACCTGACAACCAGATGGTGATTTGAGGTTTCAAGAACTGACCTACAGCTACATGACATACTGTGGAGACAGAGATTTTTACGAGCCCAGATGCATGGCCGTATAATCCGGCACCTTCTTGAGTCAGAAAAAAGCACGTCTTTTGCTTTGATTTGTTTTGCTTTCCCTTGAAATTGCTCTCAGTCAAAGGCGAAAAAACGGGCCGCAAGCAAAGCGAAATAGGACAGAAGCACGGGATTGACAAGTAAAGGACGACGGACCGTCATGCGAGAGGAACAGACTTGTGGCGACTTTCCCGAGGGTGGGGTCCTACCCAGTGAAGAGGATCAAGAGCGTCGCCCCAACAAGTGCCCCGTCGTCGTTGCACCGCCGGCCGGTCCTCGGAAGCGGCTGACAGGTCCCAAGAAAGAGCCTAGTGGACCCCTAGCACAGGACGACAAAACGCCACTGGAGGGCCCGTCTACGCTCGTTCCCTCTGGCCCCAAGCGGCCCAAGAGGAATTCACCCTCGTCCTCATCAAACTCTTCAGCCTCCCAAGTGCTCACCGTGAGCGCGGTGTCACCTGTGCCCGGGCAACCATTCGAGGACCTCCACACACAACGAGTGATCGCTAACGTGCGGGAACGACAGCGCACGCAGTCCCTAAACGACGCTTTCGCCTCGCTGCGGAAGATCATCCCCACACTGCCTTCGGACAAACTGAGCAAGATTCAGATCCTCAAACTGGCTTCACGATACATCGACTTTCTCTACCAGGTTCTCCAGAGCGATGAGATGGATGCCAAGCTGGCCAGCTGTAACTACCTGGCCCACGAGAGGCTGAGCTACGCCTTCTCCGTTTGGAGGATGGAGGGTGCTTGGTCCATGTCCGCCACTCACTAGACGTTCATCTGTTCCTAATCCCGCCGACCGACCCTACAGCCCTACGAAACGCCACTTCCAACCAGCCTCTGAACTCTGAACCTGCATTCTGCCCGAGAGAGAGAGTGACTCTGATTATTAAACACATTGCTTTCTATCCACCAGCTACGGCTTCAACTTCCCCATCAACAGCCATTTGACTCCTGCTGCCATGACCTGACCCTGCCTAAAGCTGACCTCTGACCTTCCAACACAGATCTTTTCACTTTTCCTCAGAGCAACCCTCTACAGGTATGTCAGACCGCAAGTCTGTAAAATTAAGTGTTTTTAATGAAATATGATAGCTGATATGTGCACATGGTTCTGGTTTATGTCCGAGTTGATGATCTACAAGTTAACGCTTTCTCACAAACTAGAAAACGACTTGCTTATTGATTATGGACCGGTTGGGTTTATTTTATTACATGCATCACAAGTGTTTGGTGAATTTAGGGGCTACATTTACCTAACCTTTGTTTATGGTTTATGTGGAATCATGCATAATCAAACATGCATCCAAAACAGTTAAGTGGTCATTGAAATAATTCTTCAAAGACTACAGAGTGCATAATCTTATAATTCATATAGACAGACAATGTACCCTGTCTCAAATGGCGCTGATCTGGTTCCCAGTTACAACAAACGTCCTAAGATATTACTTTTATTAATGTAATATAAGTTATCATTTTAAGGGCACTATCACGAAAGGTTTTCTTAAGGGGTTTGTTGTAACTGCCTCATTGCTCACTAAACAGAACGGAGACTATTTTTTTGTGGCTGGACCTTTAACCAGCTGGACAAGCTCTCACCCGCTGAACTGATGCTATTGGTCTAATGAACAGTTTACCAGTTTCAGAATCAAATGTACACTGCAAATTCAATAGACTGACAGGGGGGAAAATGCACATTTATAAATGCAGACAATGTTTAATGCTGCATAATATTTCCAAGTTTTGCGCTAGTTTTTTTTTTTATCTTGACTGTATAATAGACTGAAAGATCTGCGAACATTAGAAGCTTATTGATTGTAAATTTATTTTAGTTTTATGTATTTATTTACTTTTCACGTGGAAAATGTTTATGAATCATAACCACAGGGGAAAAAAACACAACATACACAAGACTGGTTACAATCAAGATTATCGTCTGGAGGACATTTTTACAATATGTTGGATATTAATGTTTTTTTTTTTTTTTGCATTTAATAATTCTTTGCACCAATAATCTGTTCTAAAAGTTGTACTCGTTTAAAATACAAAATATTTACCATTTCAGATTTGCACGAATAGGTAGTCATTTACAAGACTGAACATTTGTTTAGCAACAACCAATTAATGATCCAAATCCCAGGTTATTGGTATGAGGGTTAATAGCTATCTAAAATGAAATGCATAAAACAAAAAAACATGTTGTCTCAAGAATCTGTGAGATATTAGCCATTTTGAGAATACAACATGACAATGAAACTCTTCTTTAAGTCCAAGTTCCTAAAACCTATTGTTTCACCACAAAACGTCTGGGCAGAAAAACAGATATTAATATTTTATTCTATTATTCTTATAGACAATTATATTCCTGTCATTTGATCCATGTTTATTCTAAACTTACCAATCAGGTGTATCTAAATGCTTCTCTACACAACATTGACCTTCTGATATTTCGCTGCTCTTACACAGGCCTGCTAGCGTATAGCCTCTTTTTGTGCTTTCATAGTATGTATTGTCTTAACCACCAGTACATTTAAATATACTGCAAGTATATATACTGCAAAAACAACAAATATCTGTTTTATTAAGTTATTGTCTTCACAATTCTGTTCTGGTCAATCATATATATTTTTGAATTTATAACTAACTAACTATCTAACTAATTATATGTTAGTAAATAAGTAACAACAATGTAATTAATATAAAAGTGTACTTATTTTCCACTGAGCACATTCCACTGAACCAGTGGTCATGTGTTGTTGTTAAAGATAAAGAAAACCCATTAAAGGAAAAGAAAAGTGAGTGTGCAGGAAGCAGGGAAAGGTGGAGAGGACTCTCCTTTAGCCCACGGGTGTAAATCGCCCTCCCTCTGCCCTTCATAGGATCTTGTATCCAGTGTCGTGCAATCAGAGGCGACCGGGCCTAGACATGCAGGAACCTAATGATTGGAAACAGTTGTGGGGTGTTACAGAGGTGTGTGTCTATCAGTGTGTGTGTGTGTGTGTGTATGAGAGATGCATCCCATACAACACACACTAATTCAGTTCGTTGATATATATCAGTTTGATGTTAACGTATATGAAGATTTAGTGAACATGTGTGACTTTGTACCTTGTTGAGCCAACATGATACTATAGATTTTTAGGCACTGATCACAGAGTTTGGAAACATTTTATTTGCATGGCCGTGTAATTTTAGGATGGTGAAATCCCCCTGTAAACCCAACCGAAACAGAGATATTCTGCAGCAATGTGCTAACAGTTAGCTCTACCCAGGCGAAATCTGTACACATTTATCACATGTTTTTGCACTGATGTGGGGTGGTGGTGGTGGTGTGCAGAAATCTGTGAAATGCAGCTGAAACATTATCGTTATTGGTAGCTGTAATCAAATTAACTAAAATACTTAACAAAGGAACAGGCAAGGGGTGTATGAACTTACCCCAACAGAAAGGTGTCAATTTTGCAGTGTTTTCTGCACTGTAAAAAAAAATTATATGATCAATGAGTTATGACAACGTGTTTTTACTTTGCTTTAACTCATCAAAATTATTCAAGCAATTTTCAACTTTTTATAAGTTATAAGTCAATTTAATGTAATTTAAGTTGAAATGTCTTAAACATCCATGTTGATTGCACTTAATTTAAGGCTTTTTTTTTTTACAGTGTGTTTTTCTTTGGAGTAGCTCTTACATTACAGCTTTTACATTTTGCTTTTAAATGACAAAATAATGTATACTCTAAAAATAAAATCTTTGAAAATAAACGTTAAGGTTCCAACTGGAATATAAAAGGTGCATTAATCAAAACATGGAGCCCTTCTTATGAATTATTATTATTTTGATAAAAGTGTGTCATTACAGTCCATTTTAGGATAAATAACGGGGTCATATTCAATTACAAAGCTTTAGCCACAATATAACTCCTAAACAAACCAAAATCACAAATAACAAAAAGGTATTTAAATATATATTTGAAATTCAGCTTTGAACCAGTTTTCTGATTCAGGAAAGGCAGTTATCATAATCTCAATCACTAAAATTGCATCTTTAAGTATTAATACTTAATTTGCATTGTTTGTTTATTTAAGTCATCCCGTCTTGATTGGCCGATTTGTGGAAAAATATCTGTGCTGTTAATGGAAACATTGTAACTATGACTCTTTGTCAGGACTTATTTTGGGTTGTGGTTTACTTGGACTTGTCATATTCAGCACATGCTGTATTACTTCAGCAATGTCCTTCATTTATATGAGATGAGTCAACACGTTTGCCGGTGTTCATGGGAATGAATCCTTCGCTTTAGGCTGATGACGTGCAGATTCCAGCAAATAAATCGATTGGGCAATTTAAATACAGCTGTAATGAAGCAATCCAGTTGCACCAATCCAAACCGTAAATACACTTCAACTCTCAAATGTTTTATCCTACCAATGTTTGACTTTCTATTGTGTTCGTTTTCATACTAAAATATTCCATATAGTCTCTAAATGAATTAAGATGACAAAAGCTGCATTCATAATAATAATCAGAATATAAGATAAGCAAAATGTTAAATAATTTTAAATGGAGTATATACCATACATACATTGCAAATAGTCCATTTACAAAGGGTCTTCTGTGACAAATTAATTTTTAAATGTATTAGTGATTTTGATTATAAAGCACATTTCTGACATCATCTCCTCCTCTGTCTGTCTCAACAGTATCCCACTATCCCAGAGGACATCATGCGTCAACATCTTTCCCTTCTCCCAATGGAGCTATACAACAAACTGCAAAAAACGACCCTCAAGAGGAACAGACACCAGCGGTGGTCCGGTGACCGAACGCGTATCGAAACGCAGACTCTGTATCAAACTCTGGAAACGACTCTGATTCAGTGGCAGAGTGCTGATCTGAGATCAGTGTGTATGGAGGCACAGAGGCAGACATTGACTGTCATAAGGACTCTACTTGTATAGATAACCTTAGCCTGAAGGAAAAATGCTACGTAGACTCACTATATTCTCTGATATACAGATCCGATCATTTCAGAGTTGTCGCGCTTGCCATTTATGCTGTATATTAGCCAACGTTATTGCTTTTGTGACAGTGTAACAATTTTGTCATGGTATATATACCACATTTGTCTAAATGTATAAAGGTTGTTACGCATTTAAAAAAATAAATAAAGCTGCAAGATTAATTCTACAATATGACGACTGGCATAAAAGTAAGTTATCCGACAGTTACTTTATGAGTATGTTACTGCCTTTCAGCACAATAAAAACTGCCAAAAACTATTTTGAAGGATTTTGATCCGGGGGGGGGGGGGGGGGGGGGGGGACCCTGAGAAAGTTGTTGATGTTCTGCTAGGACGATTTCTTTAGGATCCAGCCAGACAGACACTGCTAATTACTTTATTAGAATAAAATGCTGGCTAAACGTGGTCTGCACATAAACGTGGCATTATCCTTTTTAGTTTGAGGCTTCAATGAATATATGTCTGGTTGGCAAGAAATAAGACAGACCGCCTCACCACAAAAGTGCCATGTTCTGCTGTTTACAATGTGTAAATTAGGTAAGGCAATTACAAGATGTATGTTTGAAGATCACTGCAAAACACACTGCCATAGTGGCCCAAACTAAAGCAGAAGCCCAAACGTGTTACAGTAGAAGGAGCCGGTGACCAGATGACGATCCAGTGGCTTCAGGCGTCCCGCGCTCGTCAGTGAACAAGTATTTCACATTTCTTTGGTTGTGTGCGTGTGCAATACTGGTTCATTCTTTTATCAAAATTGATCATGGCAACAGTTAATATTAAAAGACAAAAAAATAATAATAATATGCCATCTCCTTTAAATAGTGTAAGAGGATTTCAGTGTAAGTTTATTTTTTTTTTGGATGACTAAATTACCAAATTACCAGATTTACATTAGTAACAACAGCTGTATTTTGGTGGAGAATGCGGGCATTATAGCTACCATAGTATATTTTGTGATGGCAATGCTTTGTTGAAATAACAAAAAGATAAAGCTGTAGATATGAGTGAATTTTTGACAAATAATAGAAAACAGATGAATGTGCACATGTGACACATTTGATTCATTTCATACATAGTTTAAGATGTTTTCAATGCAAGTTTTTTTTTTTTTTTGGATGACCAAATTAAAATTTTAAGTACAATCACCTAAGTCATTTCAACTTAAACTGACTTAAATAAATTAGTTGAATCTTGTATAACTTATTTTGGTGAGTTAAAGCAATGTAAAAACATATTTTGTCATAACTTATTGATCATTTAATTTTTTTACAATGTAGTAACAACATTTCATTTTAGTGGAGAATGCAGGTATTGTAGTTACCATAGTATATTTTTGTAATGGCAATGCTACGTTCAAATAATAAAAAGATCAAGCTGTAGATCTGAGTGAATTTTTGACAAATAATAGAAAACAGATGGATGTCCACATGTGACACATTTGATTCAGTTCACTGGTATTTGATGTTCAGAGCACCAGAATGAACAAATAAAAATGACAAAGCCGAACGAAATTCAGGCAAAAAAAAAAAAAAATGCTTTCATTTTAATTAGGAAGATAGAAACAGTACAAAATAGACATTCTTTTCTATACACAGAGAAATAAAAGAAGTCGGAAATTAACAAGGGAATCGTTAAGCACAGGAAGATTCGAAAACATAATTTCTGTTATTCTTTGTTAAACAGATCCAGTTAGTGGGGTCGACAGGTGAAGTACTTCAAGGCACGTCGGTGAAGTCTCTCTGGTGGTACTGGGAACTATTTACATCGTCCATACAACAAGGCGAAGGGAAATAAATGAGAGAGGAATTAAGACGGCGCTGGTTTGCTTTTACAGGAGTGAAGACAACAGCACACGCTCTCCATTTTACTTCATTAAGGGTTCGGAGAGACGAGAGAATACAAACGCTTTGAGAGGTATATCGAAACAGTAAAAATGCACAAAGCTATTGTAAAAATACACCACTGGAATATAACTGTATATAAGACGCATAGCAGTGTCCGAACTGCCAGGGAATGTCAAGATCTGTTTGTATTCGCGGTCCGAAGCGGCCCGGCGAAACGGTCACTAAGTGCGTGCTGTCGAATTAAGTCGCTAACCAAGGCGATTTCTGGTTTTTATTAAACGTTGAAGGTGAACAGGTGTGTTTTGTTGATGGTGAAACGCAAGTGCACCGTTTGAAGTACTATAAATATGCAGCAAGATCGCCGCTAGTTTAGAGATTAGCTATGACTTCATTACGCTCTATTTTACAACAGTCTTCATGGGGGTCTGATGGGCAAAGGCTACCCAGGGTCTTCATGAAAACAGCCATATGAACACAAAACATCGATAAATGGGAGGATGGTGCTATATACATGGAATCATACAAGCGCATAACTATCCACAGTGGTTTGGTACGAGGCAAAAGAGGGAGGAAGTAAAGACTCGTTGGTCGGGCAGGTGCAGCTGCAGCATTACAGAAATCTGTATAGGAATGCCTCTATTATATTACACAATAACAGCAATTTGTCAGGTCACGATTGTTTCTTGTAGTGAACGCAAGAAAGCATGTTAACGCTGTATTTTGGTTGTAAATACAGAGGTAAAGGGTTGTGCAGACTCAAAAAAGATAAGATTTGGTCATTGTCATCCAAGTCACGCTGAATAACGGAGCAAATCCGACACTTGAAATCAAGTCGAAGGGGCGTTCATCAACCCAAACGCACAACGCAAAAGTCAAACAAGCACCATGAACTGTTCTGCCAGTCCCGATAGCCGAGCATCCAGACTTTAACCGTGAGATATTGATACAGCATGTGGATGATAACTTCCAGCGCATTATTCTCGGTGGTTGACGCCAATATTTTGGGCTTAACATTTGTTTAGAAAGGCTAAATAAGTGATAAACCAAATGTGCTGATGAGTGGCACAGCATTCGAAGAGTCTGTCCATTTCGGTCAACGGTTGGTGTGATGTTAATTTGGGTTCATTGAAGATGGCGTAAATGTGAATCCCAGCGGCCGAGAGACATATTTAATATCACTATAAAAGTTCATCCACACAACTGGTGTGAATTATACATCTATGTGCAGGCTGTGGAAAACAGAACGCCATCCAAAAACAATGCATCCCTCGTAAAAAAAAAAAAAAAGAAGAGAAAAAAAAAAGAAAAAAAAAAGAAAAAAAAAAGAAGTGCACAGCAATGAAGTAAAATCATTTAAATGCACAGACACTTTAGAAACGTCTCCTCCACAGGTTAAAAGGCTGGATATTTCCCTTGTCAAAAATAACAAAGATCAATGAAAAATACAGAGAATTGATTTAACGTTAAAGTGGCTTCGAGAGCCCATTCAATTGTCGTTTTGCGTTTTTTTTTTTGCTTGTGGTCAATTGAGGTTTGGTTGTAAATACAGAACAGACTAAATATATGACTGATAGATACACATGGACACACACATATACAAATCATACTCATATTAGTTTGGTCTAAAGAGAGACTGATCTACTTTGCGTTATAGTTAGTCTAGGGAAAGTGTAAGCACTTCCTGTGTCCACGATATTAAATGTACAGTGGTCATTTGGATGCGACGTGTGCTTGCGTGCACAGAAATATGGACATATATGTGTGTTTTGGGTGGGTGTGTGTGTGCAATAAACTTGCTAATAGCTGGTTTGTCCCTCTGGCCTTTAAAAACATGAGGCGTGACATTAAATCAGATGCACAGAATCAGTACAAAGAAGTATCTTGAAGTTTTCAGGTTTACAGCCTTCATGCTGGGAATGCAGGTCGAATGTAACTGAACTTGACAAGAATGCAACTGTTTTTTGCTTCACTTTAAAAGAACGTTAAGCGTCAAACTAGATACAGAATTAGATCTTTCTTTTCCCAGAGGTTTGGAAAATTTCACGGTTCACATTATGGAATGCACAGTGCAAAAAAAATTAAGATTTCTAAAACCCACAGTTGTCGAGATCGTTATTTCTTCTTCTCCGTCTTTAGTGGTTAAATTGGTTAATAGTAATGACATCATAGAGTGGAGCCACTTTGCGGTTGCCAGGTGCAAGGAAACCCCTTATTTTCTCTCAGCACTTCAATAGTTCGCTTGTCAGGGGTAGTAAAGTGGGCTGCCTTTAAAAAAAAGGTTAAATAATCCTCAACCGTTCCCACAAATCTGGTTTCGCATCTCCAGCTAAAGTAAATAGTCTCTTTTGAGGCACCAGAGGTGAATATCTGCGAGTTCGCGAGTGCGTCCTTTTAGTGAACGTTAAAAACACACTAACGCACGAAGAGGCCTCATGCATTCTAGTGTGATTGTTTGCATGGTTCTTGAATGGAGACGATGAAGTGGATCCCAGAGCCCCAGCCGAACTGTAGCTGTGTTGTTAGCTTAGCCGCGCTGCGCTGGTGGTCAGTGTTGAGGTGGCGTCTTGGGGGAGGGGCCATGATGAGGAAGCCACGCCCCCTGAGGCACTGCTGGTCTGAGGCACGGCTCGTTCACGTCATGTGGAGCGCCATTTGGTACTGGACAGTTTTTCAGACGAGTAAAGACCTGGTTTAAAGGGAGTCGTCGTCGTCGTGCTCCATGGGTTCATCAGCAAGGCTGTAAAAAATGAGGTCTGTGTTTAGCATCAAACAATTACCATGCGGTTGTTATGCCTAAGAATGCGTCAAAAGCATAATTTCCACAGCAGTGAAGCACACAATAGACTAGATGGGAATTGGGCACCTATGAAAACATTGGCATGAATTAGTTTGGATTACAGATTTGCCTCTTTCTGCAAAAACAAAATCCTGTGGGATAATTTGGCTGAATATTTTTGGTGAGTAAACTCAGTTGAAGAATGTGTTGTAAATCCCTATGCTATTTTAGTAGTATTTATATACTATTGTAGTTTTTTATTAATATTTTGAATTAGCTTATTCAGTTTATATATATATATATTAGTGCTGTCAAACGATTAAAATATTTAATCGCGATTAATCGCATTAATGTCATAGTTAACTTGCGATTAATCACAATTAATCGCACATTTTTATCTATTCTAAATGTCTCTTGATTTCTTTTTGTCCCATTCTTTTTTCTCATTTTAATGCTCTTATCAACATGGAAAAGTGGATCGGCTTGCTTTGTGCAAATGTTTTTTTAATTGAAAACAACATTGACATATACTGTGTTCAATTTCACACTAAAACATTCTCACTTGGAGCAAACAGTCTCTCACACAATGTAACACTGTCCATCAATAAAAGGGTGAAAGAAATACTGACGAGGTCCTGATATTGACAAGGGGGCGGAGAATTCGCATCAGCTGTGTGTGTGTGTGTGTGTGCTTGGCCATCATCAAGTGGTATTTCAGACTGGACTGCGATGATGATAGCTCAGTGTACAACGACACAACACACAGATCACTTTGGTCTCGTCAATGGAACCATTTGGCAACTTTTCAAAGCGTGCCTGTTGCTTTGTTTCCGGTCTAGCTAGATTCGCTTGCACTTTCAAAACGTCCTGTTGCAAAAGCATGTGAAAAAAACTACAAAGTTTGCTAGGCCAAAAAGACCGTTAATCGCGCGATAAAAAAATGAACGCCGTTAATAACGCGTTTAACTGACAGCCCTAATATATATATATAACTTTAATTTTAGTAATTTTATTATGTTTTTATTTAAATATTACTATTACTCAGCTTTATTTCAATAGCTTTATTCAACTTTATAGTTTTTTTTATAGTTTTAGATAATGATAATATCCCTGGTTACACTGTAAATTACCAAACACATTGTGTTCAGAAGAGGATTGAGCACGATAGAGGAATGACAAATTGTATTAATCACATTTAGCAAAATGTCTTCATCATGACGCACCTTTTGCTGGTCAAGACCCCCACAGAGAGGGACGCCATCGCATTGACGGTGTCTGTTTCCTCACAGTCTTTCCTCTGGGCACCCAGAAACGACATACCCACTGTGCCCACCAACGGCTTGAGTGACGACCAATACTGACCTGAGACAGAGGACGAGACTTCGCTGTTAACAGACAGGACTACAGGCATACTGGCAGCAAACAATTAAAGGAATAGTTCACTCAGAAATATCACTTCGGCCATTATGTCATTCCAAACCTGTATGACTTTCTTTACCAAGTGAATCACAAAAAAGATCTTTTGCAGAATCTCAAAGCTGCTCATTTCCATAAAATGAAACTCCAGAAACTCCAAAAAAAGTAACTGCGAAACAGTAGTTGTTTATGTGACGAAAAGACTAGAATTTAAAGGGATAGTTCACCCAAACATTAAAATGCTGTCATCATTTACTCACACTAATTTCATTCCAAACATATAGGACTTGTTGTTCATCTTCAAAACTCAGATGAAGATATTTTAAATGAAACCTGAGAGATTTCTGTCCCTCCACCAAAACTTTGATATTTTAATTTAGGCTTTTAGTCACATAGAAACATTGCTAAACACACATACATAGAGCACATCAAATATAGTAAGCAGAAGTTCAAACATGCTTGACTTGCAGGTTTGTTCTAGCGCATCAAGTACAGGTGAGCCTCAGGGACATTAGAGAACATTAATGACAACTTTTTTGGTCGGTTCCTCAAACAAAGATATTATATGACCTCAGAATACACACTATAGACCCACATAGACCAGTGTTAGGTAAGTTACTCTGAAAAGTAATTACTTATTACATCTTTAATAGTACAGATTACTGTACTAATTACTCTCTCTAAAAAGTATTGCTTTACTTTCTAAATCGCTTATAAATATCGACCAGTTAAACAACACAACATGAAACGACTCTTAATCTTTCAAATAAATAATTTGCTTAAATTATTCTTAAATTGACCAAAGTATTCAAAGGGAGAGGTTACATTAAAAAACTATATTTTAACATTTGATTTTTAATCCACTATTGTTTATATAGAATTGTTCTATGGTCTAATGCAATTACATCAGAAGTAACTGTAATTAAATTACAGAGTAATCCCTATAAATTATATACATAAATGATATTACTTAATTACTTAGTAATGAATTACACCCAATACTGATATAGACTACATTTAAAATGATGTTGGTGCTTGTTAGACTTTGTCTGAATCACAGTACACTTTCATGCTCAGACATTCTGCAAACGATTTCCATTGTGTTGAACTGAAGAGAGAAAGTCTTTAAATGTGAATGACAACAGACTGTTGACTGCAGGCAGATAATGGCAGTAGCGCGCAGAAAGCGTGAGAGGTGGTGTACGCCACGTAGTGCGTCCCATACCGTTGTTTTTATTGGAATATTTTGGCAGAGCGGGAACCATGTGGTGAAACAACGCTGATCATGATTATAATTAATTACGAAGAATTAAACAAATGTGTGCTACCAGGAAGCCAGTGCATTTCAGGATAATTAGAGGCAGACCGGGACGAGAGACACTCACTCTGTATTTGCAGGACTCTCTGCAGTGAAAGCACTCCGTTGGCATTGGGCGTCTGCACTAGAGTCGACTCGGGAAGAGAATCCTAACAGAAAACCAGATGAAAAACTGTGTTTTTTTGTTTTTCCTTTAAAACAAAGATCACGTCATACAAGACTTAGCCAGAAAAGTCATGTTAACACCCTTACATAACAAGATCCCTCAGTATTTGTTAACGGCAATGCTATAACAGGGTTATTAAGGTATAATACATTTGTTATAGAGTATTTGGCCTGGGGAATGCATGAAATCTGACCTCCAGGCCCAGCAGGGCGCTGACACAGGCCTCAGACGCATCGCATATGGCCGTGAGGTCGTGACCTCCCTCTAATGCTAGAACCACGCGTCCTCCTGCTAACGTCATCAGCTGCCGAGTCAAAATCCCAAAACCTGCGGGGAGACCAATAACAGCGTTACCGTCACAGTCCGAACACAAGGACATCATAAGGATAAGGATAATATATCAAGGACAGAAATTGCCTACATTTCGCAGTGACTTTGTATCCTCCTAAAGGAGCGGGATGTCCTTCTGCGGCATCAAACCCTGAAGAGACCAACACCACGTCTGGGGAAAACTCCTGAGCAATGGGCATCACCACCGTCCTTAACATCATAACCACACAGACATTGTTCAGTTAATATTACATCTTATTATAGGTAAGACTGCACTAGTATCTTTATGCGAGGACAATTTCAAACCGTAAAATGGTTAGTTCACCCAAGTTAGTTTACCATTCACTCATACTGGTGTCATTCCAAACCCAAACGACTATCCGTCTCCAGTGAAATAGAAGTTATTATTAACGTTTATACCATGGTCTGGGTGAATACTCGATTCTGATTGGCTGCAGGGTGTCCATTAAAAAGTGCTAGAGGACACCTAGTAAAGTAGTTCTGGTGAAACTGACCGTTTACCGTTCGAAATTGATAAACAAATGCCCTGGCTACATCAGCTGTGAGTAACCATAGCAACAGGCAGTCAAAGTATCCGGTTACAATTTATTGTATCAAAACAAACATCTAGTTAGCCGTTATAACTGTTCGTTTTAATTATAGGTAAAAAAAAAAAAACGAAAGTGTAACGCCCATGGCTAGACAAGCCTAACTTACATGAAAAAAAATATGTAAACTTTCTGGCTCGTAAGTTAGCTAAACTGAAGGGTTCTACGAGCTGAGCGGACTCTACATATCTCCGGTTGCTAAATAAACCGTCAGGCGTAACCAGGGAAACCAAGTTATTGTTTGTAAAAACTTTAGATTTCGATTATAAAACTAATTAAAATATAAACTAATGTTTTATTTGGCAAGTGACCATGGTATAAGCGGGTTAACGTCCTTCGAGTTGTCCATTGTCTAGGTATTAATGGACTTCGGCGGAGGCAACCGTCCTGACAATGGACACCTCGTCGGGCATTAACCCTTACATAATCTTCTCCCCTTAAACGAAACCGAATCATAAACAAATCATTCAGACTGCTTTTGTGAACCTGGATCAACCGATTCATTTAAAGATCCACCTCAAAAGAATGATTACAATCACGTTCTTCACTCTTGAAGTCTCATGAACATGGCAACGAAAGTTAGGGCAGATGTCAAGATTGTCAGTGAATAACAAATGAAGGGCGTTCATGGCTTCAGAAGACTTGGAATATAGTGCTTTTATGATGCGCTTGGGTCTTACTTGAAGCTTGAAAGCTTCGGTGGCCAGTCATTGTAGTTACATGGAAGAGCAACCAACTACATCCTTCAAAACATCTCCTTTTTCGTTCCACAAAAGAAAGTCATGGGGGAGAGTGAATTAATGAGCATTTTCATTTCTTTTGGGTGAAGTATTCCTTGGAGGGCTCTTCTGAGGCAAGACAAATATTATATTTTTAATGAAACGCTGGCGATGTGAATATCACAAAAGACACGAATGCTCAATAAATAGGCACATTTATTATTAATAATCAGCAGATTACTTTTATTCTTATTTATTTATTCTTTTGGGTGTATTTGTCAGTTCTCATCAAAGCCTTTACAGAAATATGCTTCACATGAGAAACTATTTGCCCAAAAGACTGAAAAGAAGAAAAAAAGTCCAGTGGCGTTCCTGTTATAGTTGACAAATCCTACAAAAAAAAAAAAATAAGCTGGCCGAAGCACAGCGTGACAATCCCAATGACTAAAGTGTTTGAATTAGGTTTTGTTAATAACCGCCTCGCTCTCTCTTCCTTCCTCGTTTTCCTCGTCTCCCTCTTTCTTGCGCTCGGAGGACGCCAGCCCTGCCAGCGATTTCGCCTCTTGAGCGCATCACCGGCGAGTTCAAAGCGACCGCCGCTGCATCTGGTTCCCATTTGAAGCTTGTCGTTCTCCTCACGTCACTGACAGCCCGGCATCTGGGAGCCATTTGCCTTAATTACCCAGGATCCTCCACTACTCCCCCCCCCCCCCCTCCGCCTACCCTCACCGTTGTTACCAACTCCGCCTCCCCTCTAGACCAATAAAACTACCCACGCTCCCCTGTGTGGAGAGGAACAATTTTAGTTTGGGTGGAGGGAAAGAGAGAGAGAGCGCAGCATTCATTAAAGACCAATAAAAGGACGAGAAAGAGTGTACAAGACACAGGAAGTCAAGGAGAGACGGGCTGGTTAGAGGCATAGCATTCAGTCCTGAAGATCTTAAAGGTCTTTTGAGACGCCCACCCACTTTCACGCAGGGATCCTGGTTAGCGTGTGGTTAGCAATGCCTCCCTGGACTAAAACCAAAAACCTGAAGCAGGCTTCCTTCAAAAATGCTACAAACTTTTAATAAAACCACCCACCGGCGGCAATTAAGTTGCATGTGGAAGTGGCCAAGCTTGAGTTTGATCCCAACGCAATGAAAAAGCTGGGAATCATCTAAAGGCCTGCAAGTGTTTCAGACTACAATAAACACCTTGACTGATACAGGTTGGCAGTTGCAAAGAAGGGGACAGTCCTGTTTAAAGTGTCCACAACATGATCCGTCCTCTTGATGAAATCTCAAAGATCTCATTGCAAATACTAGTGCACATGAACAAAGTGGACAAACCGATGTGACGCCCATAGGAAGAGCACCTGGTTCTTGGCAAAACTGATGATGGAAGGTCAAACGCTTCTTCCTGAACTCTGACCTGATGGTGAACGGACCATGTAAAGGCTTAACAAGACATACAAAGTGGATGGTGGAGTGGTTGTGGTTGAACTTCTGGACCACGGCCGATCCAAGAATAGAAAAGTTGCTGGATCCCCCAACACCACTGCACTCTTCACACAACACTAAACACTTGCAGTTGGAAAATCGCATACTGAGTAGGTACTACATTTGAATATGAACTTACTGTGTGGTCATTAAAAAACTATGTTCTATATTGTATGAATGTAATCCAGACGTACTGCATTCTCCATGTTGTCATTGTCATGTGACTTAGAGCATCAGTACGTCATTTCACTTTCATTCACAAATCCTCTCCCGTGGCCTCATGGGACAGTAAAGTGTCCATCGTATGCACACTTCAGAATCTCGCCGGAAGTCGTAGGTGATACGGGTAATTTCCGCCTACTGTTTTTCACATACTATACACAAGGGAAGTATTCGACGTGCGTTCACACTGCTGACATGTTTACCTGTTGTATTGTATCCACATTGTGTGCACGAAATCGATGCAGATGTGGTCAAAATTGTGCTAATTAAACATCATATTTTGGCCAAAAACAGAAATAAAATGTTTGCCGTTTAATCAAATATTTTTCACTAATTTTGTATGTTGCTACAGCTTCGTCCCCTAACCCTGAGGTCAGGAGATATATCACATTAAATAATCATGGTGTCTTCCAATGTCCAAATGAATTTAATTATATGAAAACTGATCCATAATTTCAAATATGGCATGGTTTAAAGTCCCCCTGTAGTCAATAATTTTATCCCCTAAAACTCATCTTTGATCATCAAAATGACATATTTAAAAGTTTTTTTCCCTTGACAAAAAATTCTTCATGCCTTAAAATAGCTTGAATGTAACTCGAAACCCTTGCCTCATTAAGTATGTGCGGTTCTATGAATATGCAAATGAGCCCCACCTCCACTCACTCACTCAGCTCAGAGATCCACTGGTTGACGATCACACGTTGATCTGATTGGTTACAAGGCCGTTTGTGACGTCAGAAACACCAGCGATTTCAAACCACATTTTTGAGACTGTCTTTGGTTCAGTTTTAAGGAGAAAATACTCTTGTGCACATGGTTTGTCTTAAATCATATTAAAAACACCACATAGACATATAAACTACATTATAAGCTTGATTTTCGCCACAGGGGGACTTTGAATAAACATATCTCCAGGGAATACTGTCCTTGTTGAGGTATTCCCCTGAGAATATAAAATAATGAAGTGAAAGTATCACCTGAAGGCAGCCAGGTACTCTGCGTCGCCCATGGGAGGATCCAGTCCACCGGTCCACGCCACATTAACGTTGAAACCCTCACCGGCACCAGAACCCACCTGGGACCAATCAAACACAGACAGCACTGCTGTTAAACACTGAAAACGCTCCATTCACTCTGATCCTTGTGTGCTAAAGGCCATGATGCAACTATTTCTGCTTTGGAACACAATTGTGACGCAATTGAGTCAATGAAGGTTCTGTGAGCCTATAGTGAATCACAGCAATACATAAGAATATCGACCAGAATATTCGCTGTTGGATGTGTATTTGCTGTTATGGTAATCAGTGATCTTTGTGTACTGACCTCTGCCGGCCCACCACTTCCGGGGAAGAAGTTTCCATTGTCGTAGCGATGGAGGGAGATGTAGAGGACGCTGGGGTCATTGTAGAAGATTTCCTGGGTGCCGTTGCCATGGTGAACGTCCTGAACGATTGATGACGAAAAATAATCGGGATAACAAACGTTTAAATTCAGCGCAATACAACGAGTAAACACTTTGACATTGTCTTTTATTAGTTAGCATTTTATTTTCTTTCATTTGTATTTTGGTTGCTGTTCATTTAACATTAGCGGTACCTTTGTTTTGGCCTCAAAAAATACCAAAATCTCGAAGTGGTTTCATTGACAGATTGATAAACTCAACTCATTCTATCTGTTAACCAATACAGTTCAACTACATTGTTTAAAAGTTTGAATCAGGTGCAAATCAGTTCATATGATCCATTCGAAAACAATATTTTCAATTAGGCTTCATTCAAATATCCCAGAATAATTGTAGAATTTCTGCAGTAATAAACTAGCGCTGATAACCCTCACTGTAAAAAAAAAAAAAGTTGCTGCCCTACATTTTTTAAAGTACAACAAACTTGGATGTTTATTAAGTCATTTCCACTTACATTACATTAAACTGACTTTAAAAAAATGAGTTGAATCTTGTATAACTTATAAAAATTGCTTAACTTATTTTGATGGGTTAAAGTCATGTAAAAACATATGTTGTCATAACTTATTGATCATGTAATTTCTTTATTTTTTTTAATATCATATTTTTTGTTTATCCGATGTTGTGTACTGTATTTAAGGTCGATATTTAATTGAAATAAATTGTTCTTTATTTTTCATCCTGTACATTACACTGTTGTGATGCCTGAACTTACTAACAAACTCTTATTGCTTTAATTCGTATAATAGGGATACTATAGATTTCCAATATCAGCCATCATATCAGTTATATGACCTAACATGAATATAATAATTAGCATTGGCTGAATGAGCTCTCACCCAGTCAACGATGAGGATTTTACTGGCACTGAGTTTCTGCTGGAGCTGCTTGGCAGCGATCGCCACAGAGTTGAAGAAACAAAAACCCCTGAGAGAGAGAGAGAGAGAGAGAGAGAGAGAGAGAGAGAGAGAGAGAGAGAGAGAGAGAGAGAGAGAGAGAGAGAGAGAGAGAGAGAGAGAGAGAGAGAGAGAGAGAGAGAGAGAGAGAGAGAGAGAGAGAGAGAGAGAGAGAGAGAGAGAGAGAGAGAGAGAGAGAGAGAGAGAGAAAGTGAGGTCTCCCACATTAAATGCCAACCATTATTGGAAACGCAACAACAAAACTGTAGTAATACGCAAAAAAATTTCCTCACGCAACTGAACTCTTAAGTTTTATCATAACAGAAAAACCATTGAGAGGCAATAGGTAATCTAAAAGCATTTAAATATGCACATATACACAAATAATAAACGTGGAAACTTCAAGCAGTTGATTAGATATGCACTGGGAAGTAAGGGAGCGAGGTGAAACGCTGAGAAGTTTGTGAAAGAGCGAACTCAGCATGCTAATAACTGCTGAAATAAATCAGCGTCTTTCCTCCCGCTCCCTCCAAAGCTTCATTATCAAGCCATAAATATACACACACACACACAGACAGGCGTGCTGACGCTGCAACACACACGGCGAACGCGAGGTGACAGAGTGCACATGTGCGAACACAACGCCCACGACAGACAAACACAACAGTCCAAACATGCCATCAACACACATGTACAGGAAGAAGCATTTCACTCATGACCACAGTAAACAAACCCAGACTCACGTGCACCACATACTGCACGAGTATACTTATTATTATTAATATGCATGTGAAGAACTTTATATAGTAAGACAGTGGAAAGCAGACGAGGAAAAAACGGCACAGGCCATATGCACACATTAAATCAAAACTGACCATTCGTATTGTTTTAATGGGATATAGCAGTATTTGTGCTGGGCAACGATTAATCGCGATTAATCGCATCCAAAATAAAAGTTTGTGCTTACATAATATATGTGTGTGTGTACTGTGTATAATTATTTTGTATGTATAAATACACACATGCATGTATATATTTAAGAAATATTTGCCTGTATATACATAATTATACATAATTTATAGTAAATATAAATATGTTATATATAAATAACACATTTTTCTTAAATATATAAATGCATGCGTGTTTTTATAAATACAAAAATAATTATACACAGTACAAACACACACACACACACACACACACACACACATATTATGTAAGCACAAACTTTTATTTTGGATGCGATTAATCGCGATTAATCGTTGGCCAGCACTATTATAGACGATTCATTAGTGCAAATTATTTTTTTAATTCATGTGCACATGTAATATTTAATCAGAATAACTTCCCCTCCCTCTTGCAGCGACATCTCTTCTCTGATGATGAGGGCGGGACTATAACCTGTCACTCACATGAGATCCACCAATAGCAAACCACAACCATCCAATCAATTCCCCACGGACAAAATCAAGCCCCGCCCTACATTTGTTCTTAACGGTGCATCCTTTTCACTTGCATATATGTCACAAAATATCGCAACTTCCGTTTCATACCGACTTTAAACAAACTCAAGCAATGCAGACAGAGAGGTTTCTGTATGTAACAGCCAGACTCACATGGGGTTTGACGGGTCTGCGTGATGTCCCGGTGGCCTAACCACAGCAAAGCCGTTCTGAAACATTGAAACCAACATGTCATTAACTGTGCATTTACCAAACGATGCTTTCACAAACGGGTCACCACTTTCAGTTAAAGCAATAAAGCCATTTCCCTGAAACATCCCCTATAACCTTCATTAAGTTTAATTACCAGCCGGGGACTCGAGTGATTGAACCGTTCCCTCATGTTCGTTACAGTTTTCCACGTCTTAATCAGTTCGGTTTGCTACTTGGTTCATTTTTATTTGAAGCGACGGTAATTGCAAAGGCTCTCTGAAAGGAAACGAGGACTTGATTCTGATTGGTTGACACACGATCCAAGAGCGTCGACTGAAGATGCATTCACGTCATGTCGGAATTGAACACGAGATGAAATTTCATGTAATCTTTTACAAAAATGCCAGTAGCGAAGTTAAAGTTTTTACACTTTACACACATTTCTGTTGATTATAGCCAGTGTTACTTGGTGTGATTTCTTTGTTCTTCAATACTTTGTGAGAGGTTCATTAATGTGAAGTGTTTCACCGTGGAGCTTTAAGGAAGTGAGTATCTCAGAGCATAATCTCAGAAGTACCATAATTACAAGATGACAACCCGGATGCAACGAGAACTTTATTCAAAGTAGTGAATCAAAATATTAACAAGCTACTTTTCCTAGCAAGTTGCAGTGTAGTGGGGGAAAAAAAAGCTTAATCATTGTATTTATCACACTGGATTTCTCATTGAGCTTTACAGCAGAGCAAGCTGGGGCAATAATCCAACACTCACTCTCCTGTCTCATACAGTACGTCTGAATCATGTTACTGAATCAGTTTTATACACTAATGTTCAAAAGTTTGCCTCAGTAAGATTTTTTTTTAAAGAAATAATACTTTTATTTATCAAGGAAACGGTATTAACCGTGATGATCCATCGCAGGATGCATTAAATTGATCAAAAGAGACAATAAAGACATTTATAATGATTCAAAAGGTTTCTATTTCAAATAAATGCTTTCTATTCATCAAAGAATCCTGTTAAAAACATGTTTTCCAAAGTTACGAGCCACTCAGCATTTCCACTGGCCACAGATTTGACATTGATAACTGCCATATAGATATTTTTAACATGATCTCATAATTTGTCAGCAGGTTTATTAGGCTGCTGTCACTTTAAGACCTGACGCACGGATCCATTATAATGTTACACATGCGTTTTCTCTCTCAACTGTTTACATTCACTTAAAACATAACTCACTGTTTACGTGAATACTGACCAAGACCATTTTTACATTATTTTGTGTGTTTGACTGTTTAAGTAGCAGCAAAAAGCAGCAAAAAATAACTACATTTAGTGCTGAGAGGCGGCTTTATGTGTCACAGCTCGGGTGTGAGTGCAAAATCTGCGGGAATGAGTAAAATTATGTGCAATATGTGCAATCCCACGGCTAAATTCAAGCCCTGTAAAATCAGCAATATTCATCCAGAGCGAATGAAACGAGTGAGTGAGTGGAGGCGGGTTTGTGTGTCACTCGCTGTCGGAGAGAAGAGAGAGAGCGTGTGTCTATTCTGTGCAAAATAAGTATTGGAAACGTTTCAGATATTTCAGTATCGATATGTTACCGAAAAATCTATATTTTTGACAACACTACATTTCACCTAGTTTATTATTTCAGATGCCTTTTTAAAATACTACAATTGAAAAATGTATATATTATAGATACAATTCAAGCCGCCAAAGTGGCTATAGGAGTGACTGCGTTACAAGGCCGGATATCTAACCAGTGGTGTAAAGATGTTGGTACACACTGTAAAATGTGGCTGACCTACAAACTAAACACGCGTCTAAAATCAACAGTTTGAATGTTTGTATATTGTCCTGAACAGACCTTGAGCTCTCCTTTGGCCACTCGGAAGGCCAGCTCGGTCACGCTCCCGGCCGCCATGCGGGACGCTGTGGAGGTGTGCATCTCGTTCCAGATGGTGTCGTTGTCCACCTGTCCAAACACAAGCAAAGAGCTCTGGTGAGGGCTAAAAACCTGTTGATTCACTTATTTACCCCACTTAGGAGTAACCACTCCGTTCATAAACAGAACCGCTTGGCTCAGTGATTTATGTGCATGTAAACCCGAAGTTAACACTTGATTTTGAGACGGTTTCACAGTTTGCGCCTCCACCCAAGCCCTGGCTCACGTAATCCCTCAGCGCCGCGTACATGACACATAATCTATGTCAGTCACCCATTCTGCCAGAATAAAATGATGTAGCTGAATTGTCTTGGCGTACACGAGCACATTTATCATTATGACAGCCGTGATCAGCGTTCATAAATCTGCAAAGCCGCAAACAGCGGTTCAAGCGGAGGGCACGTCTGCACCATGCCAGCGTCACACGCCGGGCACTTATACGGCAAACGTCCCCTCGTTAAACTGACGAAACAGAGACGTGTTCGTCAACAACATCTGCAGACAACAAGACTGAACTTCATTTGAATGATCTCATCTTTAATTCTCCTTAACTCACAATTTAAACCTATCAATAAACTGACCCTAATCCTATTCAAATAACAGATGAACGAATAACCAGCTGTGTGCTTTCACACAGATGTGAACGCTGGAGATTTATGACGAAATATGTTTACCCAACCATATTTGTATAAAGATCACTCATGCTCGCAAAAGTATTTAGATGCTTATTTTTGTTGTAAGCATCCACAAGGCGTAGTGTGTGTTACAAATTACAGAACGTAAACTACATTTCAAGAATACACTAAAGGAAAGCGGCTAGAATGACCGACACTATAAATAGATTTCCTGTTATGTGTCATATTAATGGCATGTTTAAATATTCTTTGTGTGGTCTCCATATTGCCATAAACACGGTCTCTCATCACTGCGCCGGCTTGCAGATTACACGCATTATCATATTGGAGGATGAAAAATGCCTAAAATGTGATATTTTGAGCCAGATCAACCATAGTCGTTCAGCTAGTTCTTGTCTGTGCAAAACGCCCAGACACACGTTTTATTTTACCTAATATTTACTAAAATAATTAGAAATAAATTTGATAAATGAATCAACTGACAGCTAAGCTTGTTTCTGCCACGGAATAAAACAATTTATACGATAATTTTGACTTTTTTTCTCGCAATTGCGAGTTTATATCTCACAATTCTGTCTTTATAACTCAAAATTCAGACTTTTTTTCCCCACAATTTGGACTTCATAAGATTTTCATTAAGATTCAGAGTTTGGAATGCAATTGCGAGAAAAAAAGGTCAGAATTGTGAGATAAAAAGTCGCAATTGCGAGTAATAAAGTCCAATTCTGGAGGAAAAAGACTGACTTTTTTTCACAGAATTGCAAGTTTATATCTCATAATTCTGTCTTTATAACTCAAAATTCAAACTTTTTTCCGCACAAATCTGATATATAACTCGCAATTGCATTATAACCTCGCAATTGCGAGAAAAAAGGTCAGAATTGTGAGATAAAAAGTCGCAATTGCGAGTAATAAAGTCCAATTCTGGAGGAAAAAGACTGACTTTTTTCACAGAATTGCAAGTTTATATCTCATAATTCTGTCTTTATAACTCAAAATTCAGACTTTTCCCCCCACAAATCTGACTTTATAAACTCGCAATTGCGAGAAAAAAGGTCAGACATGTGAGATAAAAAGTCGCAATCACCTTTTTTATTTTTTATTCTGTGGCGGAAAGAAGCTTCCATAGACAATCAATTGACTTCTGCATTGTAAACACATTTAAACTTCTTCATTCTGTAACCATATAGTGTTTTTCACAAATAAATAAATTGCTGACGAACACAAATAAACAGAAGCAACAGTAATCTGCGTCCACTGGGAGTCATATTTTCTTAAATAAAGACCAGGTAGCACTAACTTCACATGCAGTACACAGTGAATAAGACATGAATATGACAAAGCGACCAACAGGATACAGTGCAGCATAGTTGTGTCCCGACTGACAGCCACAAGTCCCGCTCACAAAATGTATCGACAAAAAAAAGATTGAAATATCAGCTGATGATATCGGTCAAGCCGATTATCGGTCGACCACTAATTATAACCCTTCCTCGTAGTCACTCAGCCTGTTTATAATCTAAACGGGAAACCACATGCTCCACAGGTTTGCACACACCAATGAGACGGCACTATCTGAACTGAAGCCATTTGATTTTATTGTCCAAGTGAAAATCATAAATTCTGATCAATTGAAGGTACAGTATAATTCATGTCCGTAGCATAAACGTTGCTCTGAACAGTACGAGTGGTAGTAATAGTGATGTTTGCTTCGGTAAACAGACCATCATTAAATTAATATAAAACCACATTCATAAGGGGCATGAGAGTACGGGGTGGCCATGAGAAGAAAGAATGAGGTTATACATTCCCCTCTCTCCCTTTTGTTTGTTGCCCTGCTCCCCACATCTTCCTTCTCTCTTTTCTCTTTCATTTTCCCTCATCCTTTTTTTTTTTCTTGCATTGCTTGTGGTTTGGCACTGTGAACAATGAGAGGGCTGGAATTTCTTTTATCCTTCATGGCACATATTGTTCCAATCAATCCACATGGACCTGCTCTGGGCTTGATCGTCGGAGTGAAGTTTTCAACATTTTCTCCAAATTTTCAGCAGGGGTGCTGCCCGTGTCGACTGTGCTGGGATCAGTGCTCTCTGGCTTGTATAGTTAAATGGACTGGCAGGACCTCATATGCAAAGTCCACACATGCCGTATAGACTGTCGGCCAGTGGTTTCTGTGGAGCAGGCGTCACTGGGGGCTCGGCAGAAGTCTGCATCGAGGGAATGGTGGCACTCGTCATGAGCACTGCGTGTAAACCTAATATTTCAAATCACTCTAGGGCAAGGGTGTCCAATCCTGCTCCGGGAGGGCCACAGTCCTGCAGAGTTCAGCTCCAACCCCAATTAAACACACCTGAGCCAGTTAATCAAGGTCTTACTCAGCGTACTGGAAACTTCCAGGCTGGTGTGTTGAGAAAAGTTGAAGCTAAACTCTGCAGGACAGTGGCCCTCCAGGACCGAGTTTGGACACCCTGGACTTCACCAAAAAATGTAAAAAAAATAATTCTGTCATCATTTACTCACCCTCAAACCCATAAGACTTGTTCATCTTCCAAACACAAATGAAGATATTTTTAATGAAAGCTCTGAGGTTTCTGTCCCTCCATTAACATAATCCATTCCACCAAAACGGACGCTCATAAAGAGGCCGAAAAAGTGATCCACATGAGTTGAGTGGTTTAATCCAAGTCTTCTGAAGAGACAGATTCCATGTATCTGATGAACAGATTGAATTCAGGCTTTTATTCACATTTAAACATTGATCAACTTGACAACGGCAGCTCAAACGTGCTTTGCTTGACATGCTAAAACCAATGAGGTTAGTTCCCATGCATTAGGGACTGTCTACCATATTTGATGTGCGTTGATCAATGTGAATAAAAGCCTTGGATTAAACTGTTTGAGTCGCAAGGATTACTTTTGCAATGTCTTTTGGTACTTTTTGATTCGTTAAAGCTTTGGTTGTGTGGACTTTTAATAGATGGATAAAAATGATAAGACGATATTGCAAACATCTGGTAACACTTTAGTTTAGGGTCAAATTTTCACTATTAACAAGTTGCAATTAGCATGCATATTACTAGGATATTGGTTGTTTATTAGTACTTATAAAGCACGTATGAATGCCTTATTCTGCATGATCATATTCTACATCCCTTAATCCACCCAATATCTAAACTTAACAACTGCCTAACTAACTATTAATAAGCAGTAATCAGAAGTTTATTAAGGCAAAAATCATAGTTAATAGTTTGTTAATAGAGAGAATCGGACCCTAAATTAAAGTGTGACCAAATATCTTCATTTGTCTTCCAGAAAATAAAAAAGTAGTATTGGTGTAAACTGACACGAGGGTGAGTAAACCATGACAGACTTTTAATTTTTGGGTGAACAAACCCTTTAATTTTAGGGGAATAGAAAGGTAACACTTTATTTTAGGGCTCACTAAGCCCATTCGCATGCATATTACTATGATATTGGCTGTTTATTGTTACTTATTAATCACATATTAATGTCTTATTCTGCACGACCATATTCTACATCCCTTAATCACCCAATACCCAAACTTAAACGCTCCAAAAACTACCGTACTAACTATCAATAAGCAGTAAATTAGGAGTTTATTGAGGCAAAAGTCATAGTTAATAGTGAATATGTGTTCCCCATACTAGAAATAGATAACGATATCCGCTAACAAACAGTGTTTTTGCATTATAACCCTTTCAATTTGTGAAATAGGTTGATAACAAGGTTGATAATGATGTAATAGAAACTAGTAAACACATAATTTAGAATAAGGGTTAGTAGAATAAGTTGACATGTAGTTGCAAAGTCACTTATAGTCAGTAGATTGTCTGTTGGAGGAGCATCACAATAAAGTGTATATTAAGCAGACACTAATACTCTAATGACTGCTAGTTGACATGTAGTTGCAAAAGTTACTTGTAGTTAGAAAAATGTCTAAAGTGGACCGTCGAAATAAAGTGTTACTGAAAAATGTTCACTTACAGCAGATGATTCTGATTACAACGAGCCCAAACACAGCGTGCAATGACACGTGGACCTTTAAATAACCCTCAAAGAGCAACATGACATGCTAACTTGGCTAAAAACATCATATTTTTCAGGGTCATACTTTTATGTACACAAAAACTGTCTGACTGTATATGCCAAAAATATATGTACTGTAAGATTCTCCACTTTCCATATCAATAATAGTCATTTAATTTTCCCAGTTACCAACAAATTATACAATGGCCAGCAACATATCACGCATCTCTACTTAATTTACGATCGAACACGTTTCTTGAAGGTTTATGAGCAAGTTGAAGTGTGTGTGTGTGTGTGTTTTCACTTACCCCGACTCCCCCGCAGGGCAGCATGACGAACATCCGCTGTGACAGTATGCCTGTTGGACACAGAGTGACGTCAAGCAGATTAACTGTCATTCTCGCAATCGACGTTTGACATTTCCAACCCTTTAGTAATTTTGAAAAGTCGCTCATATTCGTGTGTTGGCGACGGCGTGCCTGTGTGTCTTTGCTTTGAAAAATGGGGTGTTGCGCTGGCCAAACTGCAGCTGAATCATGTCTATCAGATCTGAGTCATGTGTGTGTGATGATGATGATGATGTGTTACCGGCCAGTTTGCGATTGTCCAGTTTGAGGCGGTTGAGTGGATTGGTGCCGTACAGCAGGACGTGTCGCTCCGTGTGGACGGACTGCAACTCTTCTAGGGTGGCTTTTCTTCCTCGAATACTCTGAGGAGGAAGCAAACACGATGAGGAGCGAGATGAAATACTGTCATGCTGCAAACATGGTGTCAGCAGTCGTGACACTGGAGTTATTAAAAGTAGGGCGGTTTCTGGATGTTTTGGCGAATTTCCCTCCTTTTTTTCAATTCTTGCAAACTCTTACCAGTATAATGAATGTGGATGAGGACTGACGCCTCGAAAAGGACACAAAAGTGTGGTCAAAAGTCATTCAAAGGTTCTGTCTGAGGAAAAGCCGTTATTTAGTGAAAATGTTGAGCTCTTTGCATTCACGAAATCTTTTCTTGAGAAAAGATTTGAGTTCACAAATATTTTCTTACGATCATCTTATTATTTTCTTACGAAGTAAACGACATGCTTTGGTTTGATCTGATTGTATGGAGGTTCTTGCAAAGGCTCGCTGATCAAAACACAAAAAACACTACAGTTTACCATAATAAATATCAAAGTATTTTCATAGCGCCGCTTTTTTAATGCACAGTGTGATTTGAAGTGTTCAGTTATACTGCTTGATATTTGAAACTGCCCAACAAACTCTTGAAACGACTTTTAAAGGAAAACTTTTTTTATGGAAATAGGCTCATTTTACAACTCCCCCAGAGTTAAACTGTTGAGTTTTACCGTTTTTGAATCATAGACTGTAAAAAAGATGGACGACGCCCCTTCGCTCTTTTCCATTGGAGAGAACCATAGACAGTAAAAGAAATGGACAGAGCCATCTCATTGGAACTCAGTTGAGACAGTTGAAGCCCATTTTTAGCGATTTTTGAGCACTTCCGTTCCTGACGCGCAGACTCAGACCGACTCAAACTAAGCTTGATGACGTGAGCAACCTGTCTGACAGACGTGAATCTTCTAGTAGCTGTGCGTGAAAACTGCCAACGTTAATCTTGCAGAGACAGGGAACTTGAGCAAAGAGTTCATTGGCGTGAGTGAGCAGGAGTAAGTATTCAGTTGCTTTTATGGACTCATTATCTATGGGCTTCTCCCTTGACGGGACGTCCCCCCGATCGCCTGCGAGCTTCTCCTCCTGTCTGTACGGTAATTTCTGTACAGCGCGACAGAGAGTCGAGTGGTTATGACGCAATCGTTAGCCTATTTTTACTAAATCTGTTTCTACGGGGCCATAATGTAACATAGAAGGTAATGGAGCCCTTTATACATTGTCGTGTTTCTTTAGAAATAAATAATGGACAAATGGAGTCTTTAAACGCCTCAGATGTAAAGTTATTCGCTGTCAAAGTGACGCCAAAATGAATGGGAGTCAATGGAAATGCTAACGCAAGTGAAGTTCTGCTACAACATGGCGGCACCCGGCCGGCTTCAACTTCCGGTCGATGGATTACCCCCTTGGAGAGAACTGAAGCCGCCAGAGTCCCGATATGGCGCTGACATATTGGAACTTGAGTCTGCGCAGTAGCGTTTTCGGGACCAGTCATGCGCAGTCGTGAGCAGGAAGTAAAGCCGCGAAATCAAGGCCCCGCCCTCGCGCTCGTTGAATCAATCGCAAGCACACGCCCTGCACTTTTCTTAAGTGGCCTTGTCTGCTCCGTTCCTCTCCAATGATGTCTGCTGATTGCAGTACCTCGTTAAAATAAGGTAAATACAACTACTAACCACATAGTCAACATTATGAAAAAAAGTCCGTTGGTGCTTCAGTGACTACTTCGCACAGAGAAGCTGTCAATCACAGCTGTCAATCATGATGTCACAGCACCGTTTTTATAGCATCAAATAACTAACTAAAAACTAATTTATTTTAAAAACAAACACTTGAAATTACATCAACGTGATAGAAACAACAGTAAATGACAGAAACTATCTTTAGAAAAAAGATATGTGAAGTGTAATTTAATTATTTTTGTTGGTCTCACGCCCCGTTGAATAACATGGCTTATAGCTTATGAGCTATACTAGGACCGGTCACCGGGGGGCGATCGAGACGTTTTGGCTTCACTTTTGAGGGCTTGTGCGGCACGCCTGTTTTGAATCCATTCAGCCGATCTCCAGTTCTGGCGGTACCACTTTTAGCATAGCTTAGCATACATCATTGAAGTGGACAAGACCATTAGCATTTCTCAAAAAATAAATGACCAAAGAGTTTCGATATTTTTCCTGTTTAAAACTTGACTCTTCTGTAGTTACATCGTGCACCAAGACCGACGGAAAATGTAAAGTTGCGATTTTCTAGGCTGATATGGCTAGGAACTATACTCCCATTCCTGTGTAATAATCAAGAAACTTCACTGCCGTACCATGAGAGCAGCAGGCGTAATGATATGACGCAGCGCCTGAAAATAGTTCCCAGCCATAGACAGTATAAGAAGTGGACAGAGCCATCTCATTGGAACTCAGTTGAGACAGTTGAAGCCCATTTTTAGCGATTTCTGAGCACTTCCGTTCCTGACGCGCAGACTCAAACCGACTCAAACTAAGCTTGATGACGTGAGCAATCTGTCTGACAGACGTGAATCTTCTAGTAGCTGTGCGTGAAAATTGTCAACGTTAATCTTGCAGAGACGGGGAACTTGAGCAAAGAGTTCTTTGGCGTGAGTGAGCAGGAGTAAGTATTTCGTTGCTTTTATGGACTCATTATCTATGGGCTTCTCCCTTGACGGGACGTCCCCCCGATCGCCTGCGAGCTTCTCCTCCTGTCTGTACGGTAATTTCTGTACAGCGCGACAGAGAGTCGAGTGGTTATGACGCAATCGTTAGCCTATTTTTACTAAATCTATTTCTACGGGGCCATAATGTAACATAGAAGGTAATGGAGCCCTTTATACATTGTCGTGTTTCTTTAGAAATAAATAATGGACAAATGGAGTCTTTAAACGCCTAAGATGTAAAGTTATTCGCTGTCAAAGTGACGCCAAAATGAATGGGAGTCAATGGAAATGCTAACGCAAGTGAAGTTCTGCTACAACATGGCGGCACCCGGCCGGCTTCAACTTCCGGTCGATGGATTACCCCCTTGTTCCCAGCTCTGTAACTTCCAACATGACCGGGACTAAGTGCCTGTGCCTGCTGCACTCATGGTACGGCAGTGAAGTTTCTTGATTATTACGCAGGAATGAGAGTATAGTTCCTAGCCATATCAGCCTAGAAAATCACAACTTTACATTTTCCGTCGGTCTTAGTGCACGATGTAACTACAGAAGAGTCAAGTTTTAAACAGGAAAAATATCGAAACTCTTTGGTCATTTTTTTGTTGAGAACTGCTAATGGTCTTGTCCACTTCAATGATGTATGCTAAGCTATGCTAAAAGTGGTACCGCCAGAACCGGAGATCGGCTGAATGGATTCAAAAACGGTAAAACTCAACAGTTTAACTCTGGGGGAGTTGTAAAATGAGCCTATTTACAAAAAAAAGTGGAGTATCCCTTTAAGACAAGTTGGAGGGGGTCGTAACTTTCTGAGGTTATTCAATGATTTCTAAATACATTCTTTTCACGAATTCAAATACTTTTCCCCTGGTTTCACAGACGAGGCTTAAGTCTAGTCCCAGACTGAAATGCATGTTTGAGCTGTTTTAACTGAAATATGAGATATCTTAAAATATGTTAGTGCCGTTGTTTTGTCTCAAGATGCACACAGGTAATGTTTTTTTCTAAGGCATGTTAATAAAGGCTACTTAAATGGCCTAATTGAGCTCCTCCTGGCTTAATCTAAACCTGGTCTGTGAAACCAGTTCACCGAGCCAATCGGATCGCTTGGCTTGGGGAGCCGATTTCAAGGGAGGACTGGATTTCTCATGACACTCGATCCATCCGATTAGTGAACGAATCATTCAGACCAGTTCCCCCGAATAGCAGCTTAAACTTCAGTCTGTTCCTCACATGAATCAGTCATGTAGCTCCAGAAGGCTAGGATGCGTCACATGGGCTACTTTTATGGTGCTTTACAGAATATTGAAGAGGTCTATAAATGTGTCTCTAGTGTCCTCCAGAAGAAAAGAACCACAGGAGGGTGAAGGAATGATGAGAGACTGTTCATTTTGTCCCTTTAATGTGGATGAGTTGAAGCAAATATCATGTTAGAATGATTGGAGGGATTACTCAGCGCCCCCTTCAGGAAAGGAGAGGAACTGTGAATACCTCGCACTGGCCCCTGAGGCCCCTCTCCTGCAGGCGGGACCAGATGCTCTGGATTCTCCCAGCATGCTCGGGGTGGCTGCTGTTGTCTCCGCACGTGCACTGGTGCTTCAGCATCTGGGAGTCGTACACCAGACCTGCACACACACACACACACACACACACATTAAGTCAGTGAGGGCTGAAGAGTGAGGCGTGAGGGGTGTTTGGCGCAGTCGCTGTACCCGTGGTGAAGCGCGGTTGGCTCTGGGACGGCTCCGTGGTCGAGGACAGAGGCAAGGTTTTGTCCGGCAGCGTCAGCGAGGTGGAGGCGGGAGACGACTGCGTGCGGGACAGCGGCCGGTGCATGCCGCCGAGCATCATGGGTACCGTCAGCGTCTCCATGTGGGCCGTCTGTCTGCGCAGTTGCTGGAGTTGTTTCTGCGTTTCCCACAGACGTGACTGCAAAACAAAGCGTTTGAATCAAAACATGTTTGCATGCACTACTGGGAAGATCTGAGATAAATGTCTGTAATAGACGGTGTAAATTTAAATGTAAATTTAAAAAGAAGTAGCTATAACTTAATATTTTTTTTATTGTATCACAGTAATGATGATGTTATGGATAATAATGAGAATATCATACAAACTCAAAAATTAAACATTGAAACACTACAGTGATTGAGAGATGGGGAGAAAAAATGTGCTTAATTGACAAAAATAATGTCAGTGTTAAAACAATCTTTTTTTTTCTTTTTCTTTCTTTTTGTACGTTTTGAAGTTATATTAAGAAACACAAAACACATCTGGATTGCCCTCAAGTCAGCAAATATATGGAAAATAATTATTTAAAATATAAACATAAATGTAAATGTATGGTGTTAAAACAATCTTAAGGTTACAAATAAGAATGGCTTTTCTTTATTCAAGGAAACAACTTTTTTTTTTGATTTTCAGAACAGTTTGGAGTTATTCAAGATTTATTTTTTAAAGAAATGAATACTGTTATTCAGCAAGGATGCAATAAATGCAGCGTGAAGACATTATAACATTACAGAAGATTTATATTTTTTTCTAACTTTTTCTATTCATCAGAGAATCCTGAATTTTTTTATCATGGTTTCTACAAAAATATGAAGCAGCACAACTTTTTTAACATTAATAATAATAATAAAAAATGTTTCTTGAGCATCAGATCATATCAGAGTGATTTCTGAAGGATCATGTGACACTGAAGACTGGAGTAATGATGCTGAAAATTCAGATTTGATCACAGGAATACATTACATTTTACAATATATTCACATAGAAAACAGTTATTTTAAAATGTAAATTTTTTATAATATTTCATAATATTGTTAAAATAAGTCTTGGTGAGCATAAGAGACGTATTTAAAAAACTTTTTTACTCAGATCGTGTTTTTGTGAAATTCACCCATAAACAATCATTGGAATATTTCCTAAATTTTCTTAAATTTTACATTTTTGGCTTCCCCCTCACCCGTAACACGAGTTATTTTGCAATAACGTTTTGTTGTTGAACAGAGCTAGCGTGGCGTATTCTTGCTCTGACCTGGTTGAGGATGAGTGTGTGCTGCAGGTTGATGTGCTCCTCCTGGTTCTCCATCTCTCGATGTGACTCGGCCCTGATCCGGCCCTGGTGCGGGTCCCCCGCTGACGGCCCCCCCTCCTCCGAGTCCATGTCCTCCGACGGGATCTGCCGCAGACGAGGCTTCTCGCTGGACTTCGACATGAGCTGGAGGACACACACATCCTTTTGATGTCAATTACTATAGTATGCTGTAGTATACTGTACTAAAACGGTGTACTTCTTCTGGTAACACTTTGCAATAAGGTTAATAGGCCCTATTTTAACGATCTAAGCGCATGGTCTAAAGCGCACGGCGCAAGTGCACTTAAAGCGCGTCCGAATCCACTTTTGCTAGTTTAACGACGGGGAAAATGGTCGGCGCTCCAGGCGCATGGTCTAAAAGGGTTGTTCCTATTCTCTTAATGAGTAATGGGTGGGCTTTGGGCGTAACGTGCAATAAACCAATCAGAGTCTCATACCCCACTCCCTTTAAAAGCCAGTTGCGCTCGCGCCTTGGCGGATTCGCTATTTCCATGGCGGGATTTGTAAGCGGAAAGACTGAACGCTTCTTCAGAAAGGAGATGGCTCTGCTCGTGCGCGAGGTTAAAGCACAAGCAGAACAGCTACGGGACAAGCCGGATTCACCATATCTTTATGTACACAATATTCATCTTTTACATTGTAATCCTTTTATTTTTAATATTTGGCTCGTTTGTGTGCTGTTGCGCAGTGTGTGTAATAAGCAGAGTGTACGTATGTTGTGCACCCGCCTATAGGCTCACATTACTGACACGCTCTTTAAATAACAAAAAAAATACTGCGCCATTGACCAACTGAAACCTGATCCTAAAGTCAATGCCGCAATATTTTTTTTTGTTATTTAATTTTTAAGTCTATTTCAGTTCCTCAAAATAGCAACGCACCAACAGTGTGCAAATGGATTCGCTATTTAAACAATGTGGCGCAGGACGTGAAAATGATAATTGCGTCAGGCTGAAACTAGCAAAACACACTTGCGTCGGGCCTGGCGCCGCATTACGACAGGTGTGTGATAGGGCCCGATGTCTTTAACATTAGTTAAGTACTTATTCTACTAACCTGAATCCTAACAGTCTACTGATACTCTAATGGGAGTTAGTTAGCATGTAGTTGCAATATAACTTATAATTAGCAGAATGTCTAAAGTGGACCATCGAAATAACGTGTAACCGTAGAAGATAACTGTGATTTGAGAGAGACGTGTCTCGAGGTCAGTACCTTGCCCAGGTGCGTCTGCTGTTTGAGCCTCTCGAGGACCAGAGCGCTGTGCTGGAGCAGGTGCGGGTGGAGGGCCCGGGGACTCTGGGGCAGCGGCTCCGAGCGCGTGCGGCTCAGAGGCTTATGAGGACCAGACGCGCTGAACTGCAGAGGAACCGGACCCAGACCTGGAACTGATCACAGGCAAATCTGCTTACAATTCCAGCAGATGAAAGCATAATATTCAAGCTAGATGTCAAAATATCATGCCACAGATCACACGAAAGTAGACAATAAACACATTAAACGATCCACGATGGCTTAAATGTAACAATTTTAGCATATCGTCATGAACTCTGTGAACACGGCGGTTGAATTATAAACACAAAAAATACAGATTTGTAATACATGTTTATATTTTTTATGGTCGCATTTTTTGTTTACTTAAAAATAAGAAATAACTAAGATTATTAAATCCATATTAATATAATAATCTATTAAAAAATATTATTATAATATACACTACCAATCAAAAGTTTGGGGTTGGTAAGATTTTTTCATGGTTTTGACTGAAGTATCTTATGCTCACTAAAACTGCATTAATACAGTAAATACAGTAATATTTTGATGTGTGAAATATTATAACAATTGAAAATAACTTTTCTATGTGAATATATATTAACATGTCATTTATTCCTGTGATCGAAGCTGAATCCCAATGGGGATTAATAAATGGTCTGTCTGTCTGTCTGTCTGTCTGTCTGTCTATCTATCTATCTATCCGTCCATCCATCCGTCCGTCCATCCATCCATCTATCTATCTATCTATCTATCTATCTATCTATCTATCTATCTATCTATCTATCTATCTATCTATCTATCTATCTATCTATCTATCTATCTATCTATCTATCTATCTATCTATTTATCTGTCCGTCTATCTGTCCATCTATCTATCCATCTATCTATCTATCTATCTATCTATCTATCTATCTATCTATCTATCTATCTATCTATCTATCTATCTATCTATCTATCTATCTATCTATCTATCTATCTGTCCGTCTATCTGTCTATCTATCTATCTATCTATCTATCTATCTATCTATCTATCTATCTATCTATCTATCTATCTATCTATCTATCTATCTATCTATCTATCTATCTGTCCGTCTATTCATCCATCTATCTATCTATCCGTCCGTCCGTCCGTCCGTCCGTCCGTCCGTCCGTCCGTCCGTCCGTCCGTCCGTCCGTCTGTCTATCTATCTATCTATCTATCTATCTATCTATCTATCTATCTATCTATCTATCTATCTATCTGTCCGTCTATCTGTCCGTCCATCTATCTATCTATCTATCTATCTATCTATCTATCTATCTATCTATCTATCTATCTATCTATCTATCTATCTATCTGTCCATCCGTCCGTCCGTCCGTCCGTCCGTCCGTCCGTCCGTCCGTCCGTCCGTCCGTCCGTCTATCTATCTATCTATCTATCTATCTATCTATCTATCTATCTATCTATCTATCTATCTATCTATCTATCTATCTATCCGTCCATCCATCTATCTATCTATCTATCTATCTATCTATCTATCTATCTATCTATCTATCTATCTATCTATCTATCTATCTATCTATCTATCTATCTATCTATCTATCTATCTGTCCGTCTATCTATCTATCTATCTATCTATCTATCTATCTATCTATCTATCTATCTATCTATCTATCTATCTATCTATCTATCTATCTATCTATCTATCTATCTATCTATCTATCTATCTATCAAATATTCAGCATCATTACTCCAGTCTTCAGTGTCACATGATCCCTCATAAATCAGTCTGATATGAGTTTGATGCTCAAGAAACATTCATTATTATTATTATTATCAATGTTGAAAGCAGTTGTGCTGCTTCATATTTTTGTGGAAAACGTGATACTTTTTCAGGATTCTTGGATAAATGGATCAAAAGAACAGTATTTATTTGAAATAGAAATCTTTTGTAACATTATAAATGCATGTGTTGTCATATTTGACCAATTTAATGTATTCTTGCTGAATTAATGCATGTCCAGTGCTTGGTTGCTAATGCACCAAATAAATAAAATAAAATAAAATAAATAATAATAACGTCTCACTATCAATATAAATAATAATTATACATATACAATAAATCCTATCTAAAAAATACTTTATTTTTTAAATAACAAAAAAATCTTAGTCATTTATATTCTAAAAATATTTTGTAACTGGCATATTATTCCCAACAGCTAATCCCTGTCATGTGACGGAGTGGCCACTAGATGGCGCACACATCAAGCTCCTGGTTCTGGAGCGGCATTTCCTCAGGCTTATCCTGCAGATCTTACCGGCCAGCATCGGGGCGTGCACGAGTCCAGAGGGCTCCAGGATGAGCACGGGCTGCATGAGCTGTCCCGTCTGCTCCTCCACACCCAGAGGAACCAGCAGCGGAGAAGCGCCCGGTCCCACCGGCACACGACCCAGCTTCAGTGAGCCCAACTCGCTCTCCGCCTGCAGACACACGGCCAGCGCTTTACAACACGACACGAGCTCTGAGTTCAGCCTCAGAACAGCTGATGACACTAGCATGCATGAGGAACTACTGTTACAGTCAAACCAAACATTATTCAGACACCAAAAATCATTTTTGATATTGTTTTACTAGTGGGTGCAGGACACTATAGTTCATTTATGTAAGTGAGGAGAGCAAAATAAAGTAAACTGGGACATGTACACCCAAAAAATCTTCAGACAGTGGCTATCAGTAAAATTATTAAAAATTTGGGACCAAAAATTATTCAGACACTTTGACCTGACCCTGTTTTACACACAGACTGAACACAATGAAGCATTGCTTGGTGATTGTTTGAGCTAAATTGGTATAATTGTGTAGTTAAATTTAACAGTTGACAGATATTCATCATAATTCATCTGTGAGAGTCTAACAGAAGGACGGACAACATCAGTGAAATATCCACTGACTTCATCAGAACTATGAGTTATTGTCATATTTTATCACCATTTTCTAAACGATAGCGAATAAACTGTGATAATGTGAGAAATGTTGAAGGTGTCTGAATAAACGTTGGTTTGACTGTATATTTAACGACATTACAGTGGTTCTGAAAGGGTCTCGGGTCTGTTCTGGCATAAGGAGAAAAAAATACTAAATGCGAGTCATTCATAAGAAAATAAGAACCAGAATACATTAAATATGAGTTTTAGGTGGGTGCCAAGAGCATGAAACCATCAGAATTAAATTGCGTTCAATAAACAATTTTGGCACTGTGTTGTGTAAAAACATGATGTCGAAGCTAAATGCGTTAATTCATTTCTTTTATATGGAAAGCAACACGTTTGTTACTTTTATTTCACTTGCTCTCATGTTGGTTGGCTGAGGCTCACGCTCATTTGTGGGCGACTTTAAACTTGAAAGTGTTGTTTGTAATGTTGACGTGAGTTTTCCCTGGCGCTGTTAGCATGACCGCTAGCCTACACCCCTGTACAGATGTTGTGCAGCTAGCAGTGTTGACAGCTTTGTTGGTTATAATGGGAGCAATGTAGTTTTGTCATCGCATTGCAATTTTTCAATCCGATCCCATATTGTTTCATATTCAACAAGGCTGGAATGCTATATTGACTTATAACCATCTAATATTGAAATTATACATATTAAAATCGTTTTATAAGCAGGAAAGTAATACATGTTGTGTTTTTCAAACATGTAATTTGGGTATTAAATTCTTGTGAAAAAAAAAAAGTGTGCTTGATTGTGTTGAATGTGCACTTGTGGTGAACTTCAAATCTATATTTGTAATGAAATGAAAGGTAAAAGGTGCACTTTCAGGGCGGGTTCAGGGTTGAATGATGGCGACTGCGATACCTTGGTGTTGGCGGGGAGGCCTAGCGTGATGGTGGGCAGACTGGACGGATTCTGCACTGTGAAGTGAGCGAGAGACCCGTCCTGCAACAGCAGCCTCTGAGCCTGAAACACACACACACACACAGAGAGATTAAACCGCTATCAGGGAGGAGAATAACACATCATTAACTGATATTTCATGTTGTCTGCCATGCGATATATTCTCTTTTAGATCTAGTGATGGACAGACACCATAGTGACCCGTCACACGTCTCAGGACCCAAAGCTGCTAATGTGTTGGTTTATGTTATGAAAAAAATAAACCTAAAATCGTCTATGAACACACTTAATGCAAACTCAAACACTTGGATCAGTGATTTCATTCAAATCTAGTAGTAGAAGTATGTTGGAAATCTAGAAGTGATATTTGTATAATCTAACATATTTTTGTATTCAATCATTATTAAACATTTTTATATATTTGTTTTATAATATATTTTTTTCATTTATTCTAGCAAAGCATTATTCGTGCATGTGTTTTAGAATATATATTTTTATTTTATTATATATGTTTACATGTATTGTAGCAAAGCATTATTCATCCATATGTTTATAATATAATTTACTATATATTTATTTTGTTATATATTTTTAAATGTATTGTAGTGAAGCATTATTCATGCATATATTTTTACATTTATTGTAGCAAAGCATTATTCATCCATATAATGTTTTATAATATATATTTTTATATATTTATTTTATTATACATATACACATGTAATATAGCAAAGCATCATTCATGCATATCATGTTTTATAATATATTTTCATACATTTCTTTTATCATATATATATATTTTTTATGTAGCAAACCATTATTCGTGCTGCGTGCATCATGTTTTATAATATATATATTGTCACATATTTATTTCATCATATATTTTTTAATTTATTTGATCAAAGCATTATTTGTGCATATAACATTTTATAATATATTTTTTTATATATTTATTTTATTATATATTTTGTAATTTATTGCAGCAAAGGATTTTCCGTGCATGTTTTATAATATACATTTTTCTATATTTATTTTTTGATATATTTTTAAAGCATTGTTTGTGCATATAAATTACAGCTACCTTTATATTTGATGTTGATTTGTTTTATAATTATCAGCCATAAATGAAATTTCCCTTGAGAATGTTTTTCAATGAATTAAGTATTAATGATACTTAGTTGAAAAATGCCGTCATAAAGCTAAAACATTTCCATTGGGCAAATACGGTCCCCTAACAGCAGCTCTGCGTGTCGGTCTGAGCGTGATCAGCTCTCGCGTGCGAGCGGACGGGGTTCCCGTGTGCGACCCATCAGAGACTCCTGCATTTATGCAAGCCCAAAAATGGAGGAGCGTAGAGTAATAAAGCGAGGAGGAGGCTGTGGATGGAGACGGGAGATTGGGTGTCCTGGCAGCTGCCTGCAGCTGTCCTTCTCCAGTGTCTTTGTTTAAAACATGTCATTATGCCAAAGGGCGGCGCAAACCTCCTGAAACAAGCCTTGTCGAGCACAAACAACTCCCACCACAGCAATATTAAAGAACTGTCCCATCATGCCTCGGTGTGCGTGGGTGTGTGTGTGTGTTCGGCTGGGAGTTTGTCCTCTCTGCAACAGATTGTATTTTTGAAAACAGGGAGAAGCTAACTTCACATAAACTGACTGCATTATTACATAATGAGTCATTTTCCATAATTGTTTGGATGTGGAATTGCATTAGCATGAGTCCCATTATAAGGGAGCCGAGACGCACCTGAGAAGCTCCGCTGAGGAGTGTGTTTGGGGAGTGTGAGGACCGTTACCTCATGGCACAGGCTGGCGGCCGCGGGCAGCGCTCCGTTCTCATTGGGCAGGCTGTCGTTCGGGGAGCTGCAGCCCGACACTGGAGTGCTGCTGCTGCTGGGCGACGAGTCTGAGAGGAACACACAAGTTTTACTTCAGTCACTTTTTCAAAACTCGTCACACACTGCAGTCTAAGGGCCAGATTTACTAAACAGGGCAAATTAGCGTGAGAGGTCAATCCCATAAAAGCGCTGAAAAGGTCTGCGCGTGATCTACTGACGATGCGCAAATCCAGTCATGTCAAGCGCAAAATGGGTGAAGATGTGCTTTTTGGGACTGTAAATATTAGTGAAAAAATTCACTACTGTGTACTTAATTCATTTAAAGTTCCCCTGCAGTCAGCCATTTTATCCCTTAAAACTCATCTTTGATCACCAAAATGACATTATTTAAAAGTTTTTTCCTTCTTCATGCCTAAAAATAGCTTGAATGTAACTCCACACCCTCATTTAGTATACGCGGATCTATGAATATGCAAATGAGCCCCGCCTCCACTCACTCATGTGGATCTGAGACTGTCTTTGGTTCACTGCAGTTTTAAGCAGAAAATACTCAGCAATGCTGTCGACTTATGAATTTACACATGGTTTATCTTAAATCATATTAAAAATACCACATATAAACACCATTAAAACCTTGATTTTCACAACAGGGAGACTTTAAATGCTCTTCACTCACATTTTGCGTCTGAAAGGGAAACTCCGACAAACGCATATGAAATAAGGTCAGCTGCAAAACTGTGTATGTTGGGTGAAAACCTTTATGGAAGAATGAGTTGATTTGAGACATGAATGAAGTGTTTTGGTAGTTTTACTGCATTTTGAATGTGAAACGAACTGCTGCGCCAAGCTGTAAGAACTGTGTGAAGAGTTGTGAACAAGTGACTGAGGAATATGTCCTGGTCCTGGTGAATAAACCTAAATATAACTATGCGTCAGTGTTACTTCAACATGGCGGTTTAGTTACCCAGCGCGTCAGGACCGCGGTGCTTGACGGTGGGCGGCGCGCTCTCTTTGCGGGTCAGCGGACTCTTCCGGGTGTTCAGGTGCTTCTTTAACTTGTGCTTCACCTTCAGGTTGGGCTCTGACCCTGCGAACAAGAAAACAAAAACAAAAAAAACAATAGCATTACCAAAAAGGATGACAAACTTTGGGTCGTATAGTAGTCTGTCAGCTAGCTCATCTACTGTACTTCTGCAGGGTCAGTTGTGGTTTGTTTGTTCAATAAACATGATTTTTCTTTTACTTTGAGGGACGATGTGTTGTCATCACTGCGCCGTTTAAAAGTAGCAATTTATGACGACAAATAGCATCCCAGCGAATACATGAGCATACACAGCGCCGTCAAATAAAGCTACGAAAACCACGACAAACAACCAGCAATGTGTTCACAGAAAACCTGTGGGTTATAATAACGGCCTGGCAACACCTGAGATTTAGAGTAGATTGTTTGAGAGTCGACACAAATACGCCAAATAAGAAAACTTGACATTTAGCACGGGTCAGGTTGGGTAACTAGTTGCGCAACAACCGACTAGCGAGTATAGCATGATGCTATAGCTGCGTCAGTTAGCATCTGTATATCTCATGAACCGTCTCAGGACTTTAATCGTCAGATTTCTACTGACGCGTCAAGCAAGCACAATGACCCTTTGGTTTACGCCTAAACTAAATCTGTGTCTCTTCAGAAGACCCGCTTGATTGGTATGGATTACTTGCGATCTCTTCATGGACTTTTTGAAGAGTCAGTTTTAGAGGGATAGACGTCATAAATGTAGGAACAGAAATCTTTCAGATTTCATTAGAAAGATCTTTATTTGGGTGAACTATCCCTTTAAGACCAACTAGTCCACCACTCATTCAAATGACCCACCGATTGGTTGATTTTCGATTTAGAGGTAGTTTTGCACATCCCTATTGACCTATAACTATTATATGCAAATGAAGCATCTCCTTCCTTTGATCGCACAGGCACAGCTCAACGCTTTTGTCGCTGGTTCAGAAAAGACAAAGGTTCAGAAATCTCTTCTCTACTTCCTACTAATTGTTTTAGTCCTTTTAAAAACACACTTACACCATCAGCCTTAAGTTCTGGGAGAGGACATGTTGAAAACCGTAACTCCACAGCTGGACTTACTCAACTTCACCAGTAAATGACACTGTTCTCCGCAGCATCTTGTGGTTATCATGTTAAATGTTTGACTATCGAGCACAGAGTGATCCTGACAGACGGCACCCAACTGATATGAAGTGGACAGGTCAAGTGTTTGGAAACTCTCTCAAGGACTACTTGAAAACTTCTGCAAAATGTTCTGTTCTACACTGAAGACTGAATGATAGTCACAATATAACTTTGATATTTTCTAAAGAAATTGTGAGTGGTGTTTGCCAGTGGAAGGCTGTTGTGATTGGTTGCCAGGTGATGCAATGCGGTTACTAACGTGTTCTGAGTGTAATACCTCAGGCCTGTTCACAACAAGACGAATATTCAGTGCAAAACTTTTAATAACAGCAGATAATGCTTCTGTTCAGACCGACACACACATTGTTATGCTGTCAATGCGACATATTTTTTTTAGAGGTGTTATATTCCATCGCACTGTGAAGAAAATTGGCCAGCCAATGAGATTCAAGCTTTTGGTCACATGCCCAGAGCTGCTGCTGTTAGATAAAACTACGCCTAGTTTATGAAAGTCAATAGACTATTTTGCTAAAGCGAGGAAGAATCCAGATATTTCTGCTTTTCCACAAGCGCCACCTACTGTCACGGAGTGAGTTTGCATTTTCTTTCAGACCGTCTTCCGTTTTATTACGCATCGATTTGGACAGACAATTCACATACAAAAACCAGATTCAATTTGTGTTGGTGTGAACAGGCCTTTTACAGTTATGGGTTTAGAGCAAATCCTTAAACCTAAGAATGAGCAATTATTACAGTGATGATTGTTTTAGCACTAATAAACAAGTAAAAAAAAACTAAATCTAAACCAAAAATTAAAAAAAATTGCAGAACAAAGACTTTTGAGTATAAAGCCCAAAGTATTCTTCAGTTTTTACCAAGCGCCAACCTTCCGGTCTCTCTCTCGAATCCAACACGGAAGTGTCTTAAACTGCAATTCATCGACCGGCCACTAGAGACAGTCGATCACATAAACCCCTCATGTTAATACGCCCAACTTTACAGCAGAACAAAATATGTTTACAGCCTGGCGCAAAAAGTGGTTTTGGTCTATATAGGTAATTTTGCCCTTCATGACAACTGTGAGGGGGGTGGATCTTTTTATAACTCATCCGTTAAAATTATATTAAGCCTTAAAGTTCTGCATAAATAAGGGCGTGGCCACTTGATTGACAGGTGGATTGCTCTGCTGTCACTACTAGCCGTTTGTCTGCTGTCTGTTAGCGTCACGTCACCTCAGCTAATCCGCCTCTTTGCCCGTTCCCGGTTATCCGGGAGTGACGCGCTGCCAAGATGGCGACCGCCCGCTCCGCCCACTTTAGGCTTCAAAAATGCTCTTCAGAAAAATCTTTAAGTGACAATTTTTGTAACCGCACATACTTTGTACACACTGGTGGTCGCACATGTGCATTGAATTTGTTTTTTCAGTAATTCAGTTCCACAAGATGGCAACACTGGCCCGGGCCGTTGTTTCACAGTAGAAAACGACACTTACAAACAACAACAACAACAAAATACCAGAGACCGCAACAGACGTCCACATTGACAAGCGCTTGTGTGAGGGGGAGAGCCGCAACTTTAGTTTATAAGAATAGAGACATTTTTATCAGTCATAACTTCTGGAGAAAAATAGCGAAGACACTGGTCAAAGATGAAACTCTCTAGAGAGCATGCGTTCGTGCACGCTATCAATGGAGTGTGGAGCATATGATAGGCTAGAGTATGCGTAAACAAACAAGTATACTTTGGGCTTTACAGGACGTCCAGTCATAGTTATTATGACATAATGACTGGCTGACAGGGGAGTGTGCTCGTCTTCAGGGGTAAATGAGAAGGTTAAGCAAGGCCTTGTTTAGGCAGAGCGAGGCGCTGGGAGTGTGTTTGATCAAGGCAGCGGCGCTGGAATGCTTCCACACACACACACCTGCTGAACGACCAGCCCTGCCTCCTGCTCTCAGGTGTGTGTGTGTGTGATCTGTAGATGGTGATGTCATGCAGTGATGAATGAGCTCTCATGTGTATGTGTATGTTGGAGGGTGACGTACGTGCTCGTCTCAGGTTCGTCGGTTCGTCGCATCCTTCTATGAGGGTTGGTTTGGTGGAGGGCAGGAGCGACTGTAGGGGAGCGCTGGGATCGGGAACCAACTCCCTGTCAGAACACAAAAGATGAAAATAAGCACATGGATCTGTGCACATGTGCACTTCAACAGCGAGAGTCGCTTCTAACCGGTAGGCCACCGATGCGGGGCTCAGGGGGTTGGAGTTCGTCCTCTCCAGGACCGCTTGCTTCTGTTTCTTCAGAATCACTTGCGCCAGTTTCTGCTTCACCAACGCACTGGCCACAGCACCTGTCAATCAATACAAACAGCCAATGAAATGACAATGTTTCACTCAATTGGTTTAAACAAAGCTGCATTGCATTACAAAAAAAAAAAAAAAAAAGATTTTGAGTGTCAGACATTTGTCACGTGTTTATTTACTTACATTTTTTTTAATATTATTATTGAAATATAATTTAGTTTAATACTTTTAGAGAGTTTATCCCTCAATCAATACAACCAGCCAATGAAATCATGCCAAACCACTTTTTTTTTTAAAGTGGCAAAAAAAAGAAAAGAAAAAAAAGTCTGTTTATGAGTCTCAGGTATACTTGTTTAAATGTATTTTATTTTTTTGTCTTTATTTTTTTAAATAAGTCTTTATTTTATTTTATTCTATTCCTTTAGTTAGTTAGTATTTTGGTTTAGTTTAGTTTAGTTTTCCCTGGTCTAGGTCATTTTATGTAACTAAAGGACATTTCTTTTTTACTAATATTTAATATTTTTAGAGAATGTTGCCCTCAATCAAGCCAATTAAATAATCCCAAACTCCCAGAAATACTATTTTAATCGATTGTATTGCTTAAATGCATTTCAATTATTTTTTTAATAGTAATAATTAATTATAATAATAATTCATTGCATTTATATAGCGCTTTTCTCTGCATTAATTAATTAATGAATCTTGATTTTTTTTATTTTTTTTTTTATTTAATTTAATTTAATTTAATTTTATTGTACTTTATTTCTTTATTTCTATTTTATTTTATTTAGTTTAGTTGGCTCTGGACTAGGACATTATTATTAATATTAATATGTTTTAAATAAGTCAAAACTAGTCACTGAACCGTTTTAAAATGCCAGTTTTGTCCCACATAAACCTGCCAGCGCTGCTTCTGTGAGCGTGGTTCAGCTTTGTGTCCGAGGTTGCTCTGGGGTCGAGGGAAGGAAACTGTGTGTTGACTCAGTGCCTCCCTGTCCTTCCAGGGCGGACACGTCATAGTGGCTCTAACCAATAAGGTCAATATTGACACGGTTACTGTTTGCACAACTCAATTTAATTTTACTTCTCTGCGGCTACTTTCTCTCACAACAATCTTATCAACTGTGATAAAAGCCTCCAGCTGCAGTGATTTATCATCAGCGAGAGACACCTGTGTGACGCCTACACACCTCTGACTGAGACCGACTGCAGGATATGCAGAAACGTGCTTTTGAGAGACATTTGATTAGACTTAACAAGAACGGTCGGTATTGGGTGTTACAAAAAATCATTCTCTGCTTAATACAATTTATCAGAAAACCTAGTAGTAGTAGGTTTCACACTCTAGATGTTGTTTAACTCTAACAGTGTAACGTGACTCAAAAGGAAAATTCATGCTCTCGTTCAATGAAAAATAAACAACAAAAGTGGTCTTAATGTTTTGCCTGCGTGACCAAGCACTGAAGCATGACACAGCTCTGGAATGACGAGACCGTCATGATCACAATAGAGTAATTCTACCACACACACCCTCCACATCCACCTATCCATCCATCTATTCATGCATCTGTCTGTCTGTCTATCTATCCATCTATCCATCCATCCATCCATCCATCCATTATTCATCTATCTATCTATCTGTCTCTCCGTTTGTCTGTCTCTCTTTCTGCCACTGGATGGCATGGTCTGGTACTGGATGGCATGGTCTGGTACTGGATGGCATGGTCTGGTACTGCATGGTCTGGTACTGGATGGTCTGGTACTGGATGGTATGGTCTGGTACTGGATGGTATGGTCTGGTACTGGATGGTATGGTCTGATACTGGAACTGGATGGTATGGTCTGGTACTGGATGGCATGGTCTGGTACTGGATGGCATGGTCTGGTACTGGATGGCATGGTCTGGTACTGGATGGTATGGTCTGGTACTGGATGGCATGGTCTGGTACTGGATGGCATGTCTGGTACTGGATGGTATGGTCTGGTACTGGATGGTATGGTCTGGTACTGGATGGTATGGTCTGGTACTGGATGGCATGGTCTGGTACTGGATGGTATGGTCTGGTACTGGATGGCATGGTCTGGTACTGGATGGCATGGTCTGGTACTGGATGGTATGGTCTGGTACTGGATGGTATGGTCTGATACTGGAACTGGATGGTATGGTCTGGTACTGGATGGCATGGTCTGGTACTGGATGGTATGGTCTGGTACTGGATGGCATGGTCTGGTACTGGATGGTATGGTCTGGTACTGGATGGTATGGTCTGGTACTGGATGGCATGGTCTGGTACTGGATGGCATGGTCTGGTACTGTATGGTATGGTCTGGTACTGGATGGCATGGTCTGGTACTGGATGGCATGGTCTGGTACTGTATGGTATGGTCTGGTACTGGATGGCATGGTCTGGTACTGGATGGTATGGTCTGGTACTGGATGGCATGGTCTGGTACTGGATGGCATGGTCTGGTACTGGATGGTATAGTCTGGTACTGGATGGCATGGTCTGGTACTGGATGGCATGGTCTGGTACTGGATGGTATGGTCTGGTACTGGATGGCATGGTCTGGTACTGGATGGTATGGTCTTGTACTGGATGGTATGGTCTGGTACTGGATGGCATGGTCTGGTACTGGATGGCATGGTCTGGTACTGGATGGTATGGTCTGGTACTGGATGGCATGGTCTGGTACTGGATGATATAATCTGGCACTGGATGGTATGGTCTGGTACTGGATGGCATGGTCTGGTACTGGATGGTATGGTCTGGTACTGGTGCTGGATGGTATGGTCTGGTACTGGTACTGGATGGTATGGTCTGGTACTGGATGGTATGGTCTGGTACTGGATGGTATGGTCTGGAACTGGATGGCATGGTCTGGTACTGGATGGCATGGTCTGGTACTGGATGGCATGGTCTGGTACTGGATGGTATGGTCTGGTACTGGATGGTACTGGATGGTATGGTCTGGTACTGGTACTGGAACTGGTACTGGATGGCATGGTCTGGTACTGGATGGCATGGTCTGGTACTGGATGGCATGGTCTGGTACTGTATGATATGATCTGGTACTGGATGGTATGGTCTGGTACTGGATGGTATGGTCTGGTACTGGATGGCATGGTCTGGTACTGGATGGCATGGTCTGGTACTGGATGGCATGGTCTGGTACTGGATGGCATGGTCTGGTACTGGATGGCATGGTCTGGTACTGGATGGCATGGTCTGGTACTGGATGGCATGGTCTGGTACTGGATGGCATGGTCTGGTACTGGATGGCATGGTCTGGTACTGGATGGCATGGTCTGGTACTGGATGGTATGGTCTGGTACTGGATGGCATGGTCTGGTACTGGATGGCATGGTCTGGTACTGGATGGTATGGTCTGGTACTGGATGGCATGGTCTGGTACTGGATGGTATGGTCTGGTACTGTATGGCATGGTCTGGTACTGGATGGTATGGTCTGGTACTGGATGGCATGGTCTGGTACTGGTACTGGATGGTATGGTCTGGTACTGGATGGTATGGTCTGGTACTGGATGGTATGGTCTGGAACTGGATGGCATGGTCTGGTACTGGATGGCATGGTCTGGTACTGGATGGCATGGTCTGGTACTGGATGGTATGGTCTGGTACTGGATGGTACTGGATGGTATGTTCTGGTACTGGTACTGGAACTGGTACTGGATGGCATGGTCTGGTACTGGATGGCATGGTCTGGTACTGGATGGCATGGTCTGGTACTGGATGGCATGGTCTGGTACTGGTACTGGAACTGGTACTGGATGGCATGGTCTGGTACTGGATGGCATGGTCTGGTACTGGATGGCATGGTCTGGTACTGTATGATATGATCTGGTACTGGATGGTATGGTCTGGTACTGGATGGTATGGTCTGGTACTGGATGGTATGGTCTGGTACTGGATGGTATGGTCTGGTACTGGATGGCATGGTCTGGTACTGGATGGTATGGTCTGGTACTGGATGGCATGGTCTGGTACTGTATGATATGATCTGGTACTGGATGGTATGGTCTGGTACTGGATGGTATGGTCTGGTACTGGATGGTGTGGTCTGGTACTGGATGGTGTGGTCTGGTACTGGATGGTATGGTCTGGTACTGGATGGCATGGTCTGGTACTGGATGGCATGGTCTGGTACTGGATGGTATGGTCTGGTACTGGATGGCATGGTCTGGTACTGGATGGCATGGTCTGGTACTGGATGGCATGGTCTGGTACTGGATGGCATGGTCTGGTACTGGATGGCATGGTCTGGTACTGGATGGCATGGTCTGGTACTGGATGGCATGGTCTGGTACTGGATGGTATGGTCTGGTACTGGATGGCATGGTCTGGTACTGGATGGTATGGTCTGGTACTGGATGGCATGGTCTGGTACTGGATGGCATGGTCTGGTACTGGATGGCATGGTCTGGTACTGGATGGCATGGTCTGGTACTGGATGGCATGGTCTGGTACTGGATGGCATGGTCTGGTACTGGATGGTATGGTCTGGTACTGGATGGTATGGTCTGGTACTGGATGGTATGGTCTGGTACTGGATGGCATGGTCTGGTACTGGATGGTATGGTCTGGTACTGGATGGTATGGTCTGGTACTGGATGGCATGGTCTGGCACTGGATGGCATGGTCTGGTACTGGATGGTATGGTCTGGTACTGGATGGTATGGTCTGGTACTGGATGGTATGGTCTGGTACTGGATGGTATGGTCTGGTACTGGATGGTATGGTCTGGTACTGGATGGTATCGCAGGATCTGTAACTGCTGTAACTGGCAGGTCACCAGCAGCAGTGTGACAGTAAATCACCTTTATAGAACAACAGGGTTCCCATGTTCAGAGGAGACGAAACTCCTCCCATGTGTTTTCAACCACAAAGTTTTGTTTTTACTCTCAGAGTCATTTCCTGAAAAAGCCGTGGCCCTGTTTTAGTTGAAGTATTATTAAAGAGGGCATTGGCGTAACATAATACAGCATTTCTCAGTGACCTTGATACATTTCTCAAATCAAAACTGAATATCTCTAAACTGTTGTTCAACCTCCACATCATCCAGTCACTTCTCACTTGCCATTGTTTGGTACATTCCGTTCATGCGATCGATTCTGTACAATTGTCTGCTTTTTGAACCTGAACACTTTCTTGAGGCTAAAGATGCACATTAGTCACATTTGAGTGATCAATAGTCTAAGAGCTTCATTTTAAAGGCATCTCATTCATGAAATGACATGAACTTCAAAAACTCTTCTTCTAGAAGAACACTTTCTATCATACTAATCAACGTAACCCCAACCCTAGCCTAGCATAATGTGTGCAGTCTCTCTGTGTAGACATTAAGTCTGTGTGTGTCACTCACTCTGTTGACTCTTGTCCTTGTGTTTGAGTTGCTGTAGCTGTTGTTTCGCTTGTTCCTGGTCTCGTAGATGCTGCTCCATATTATACTGCTACAAAAAGAGAAGAACATCATAATTATACATAACAATGCTAACTAGCTTAGTGGCCAGTAAGCATATACAGTGGGACTCATTCAAATTAGAGTAATTCATCTATTCGCATATGAATTGTCAATAGTTTCAGCTACTATTTATACAGAAATTAATTGTTTTCTGTTTTGTGAAAAAAGGTACAAGAGTAAATATTTTAGAAAGCATCATATTCTGCTTTAAAGGGTAACTTCTATGCCTTTTTACATGTTTAACTTTCTTTAGTTTGTGGTGTTGCTGTTTAGCATGAAATGACTGGTTGATGATAATGCCGTTCCAGCACCAACAAGGATGTCGGTTGTGACGGGAGTGTGTGCTAATAGGCTAAATCACATTAAGGGAGGCGCTGTTTAAATCCGTGTACGACTGGATTGAATTGAAGGCATTGTGCGGCAGTGGTCTCAGAGGTATCTTGCGTCACATGCGCTGTACCTGTATGTGCTGCAGCTGCGACTGGCTGTACTGGGAACAGTGCTGCGCGCTGAAGGGCCCGATCAGCAGAGGCGGGTGCAGAGGGGACAGGAAGGCCGTGTCCGAACCTGGACGCACCAGACGCTCGCCCACACGCAGGTCCATGGGGACGGGGCCCGTGCGAGGAGACAGCAACTCTTCTGGATGGACAGAAACACACACACATTCATTATAAAAACGTACTATTATGACAAAAGACCTACATGAATAGGAGAAACATAAGATCAATATTATTACAATTTAAAATAGGTATGTTGTAAAATTATATTTATTCCTGTGATCAAATCTGAATTTTCAGCATCATTACTCCAGTCTTCAGTGTCACATGATCCTCCAGAAATCACTCTAATATGAGGATTTGATGATTTTTCTGGAATCATTTCTGGTTATTATCAGTGTTGAAAATATTTGTGCTGATTAATGTTTTTGTGTAAACTATAAGGGATTTTTCAAGATACTTTGAAAAGTTCAAAAGAACAGTATTTATGTAAAACAGACACTTTTGGAAACATTATAAATGTCTTTATTGTCAGTTTAATGCATCCTTGATGAAGTATATTTTAGTATTATTTGCATCGTGACAATATTTTCATGACAATTAAGCACACCACACAAACTTCTCATTACCATCATTTTGCTTTTAGTTTTTTATACTTTTTTAGCATGCGAGTCTTCTAATTCACTGTAATTCTCATTCAATTATTTTCATATTTTCATGACATTAAGGCAAAACAAAATAAAGTAACACACATATATTTATCAATAATACAATGGTTTAGTGTTCTAATTATATGATAATAAATGTCACACAATGCAACAATTTACATGTTTTTAAAACAAGCCTCTTTTTGTTAAATGTTTTTCACAGATTTCATAAAATGTAGTCCTTGCATCATAACTAGCCCTCCATCATTTTGATTTAATTAAAGTAATAATAATTCATGCTCTATCAAAACAATGACAGGACATTTCCATTGGTGGGAGAGGGAAAAAGATGAAAATGCAGAAAAGGAGAAGAGAGAGAGAGAGAGAGAGAGAGAGAGAGAGAGAGAGAGAGAGAGAGAGAGAGAGAGAGAGAGAGAGAGAGAGAGAGAGAGAGAGAGAGAGAGAGAGAGAGAGAGTGTTAGTGTAAGTGCATGTTCCCCTTACGGCTCATTCCACAGAGATATAAAGTCGGTCTGATTTCCATAACTTTTGCATGCAGCTTTAAGAATATTTGCATGGTACCAGTGACTCAATGGGACGCACTGCCTCACCCTTACATCTCTTACAGAGAGCAGACAGGAAAATCACAAGCACACTCACAGAAACCATGTAGGTTTCTGCATATCTGGGCTACCACAGCACTGATGTCACTCATGCAGCCCTGGCACATTGCCCAGGTAAAACCAGCGCACGTTTATGAATGCGCTCGACAGGTCTCTGATCTGAAGAGTTAAACAAGCACTTCAACCGTAGAGTTTTCAGTATTTCCCAACACTTTCCCACTTATTTCCAATAACGACTCCCAAAAATAGCTGTGTTTCCCACACTTGCAAGATCTAGTGCCTCAGAAATTGTGACTCATGCCCTTTTGCCGCCCCATAGCACATTTATTATTGTGTTCCTGTGAATTGTGACTGCTTTGTCACCTTTCTTCTGACACAAATCTCCGAACAAAAAGGCTTTCTACAGCAGACCAATGAGCAGCGTGGAAAATGACTCACGGATGACTTCAACCGGTGAGGAACAATATGTACCTCTGAGCTGCTGTGTTATGCAAGAGGAAGAATCTGAGAAACAGAATGAGAAATGTGATCAAAAGAGATGATATATCAGCAGATATTTGGCATTTTTTAATTTGATTCGTTTTTCTGTTTGGCTGATGTGACGGAAGCGGGACTTTTATTTTGACAGCACAGTTTGTAGTCCTTGATTTCAAGCTATGATGCTCTATTGGTGCGTTCAAGTCGTATAAAGAAAAGATCGTATTTAAGAGTTGAACGCGCATGAACACCACCACAAAGTTGTAAATACGAGTGGGAAGCTCAGGGTTTTATTTAAGCCCCGATGTTTACGCGTTTGAGGCGTGCAAGGGAGAACATGGCACAATATTTATAGTTCTGAATTTTCTGGAAGTAGAGTTTAAAACCCTTGCTGTATTTTTGTGTTGGTAATAAAGAGAAGGTACACCGCCATCTTGCTCTGAAGAAGTATATACAGTATAATGTTCCATCGGCCACCCTGCTCTCTAAGATATCGGCACCAGCCGTCAGAAAAACAATCTCGGCTTACTACTAGTTAAGACGGGAAAACAGGAGTGCCGTGAGAACGGCCAGAAGTGACCCGCTGGAGTTGTTTACATGAGGAGGGATGTCCTGACATGTTCTGACACAGTCCAGGATCTCCTCAGCCCCTTTTTAGGATCTTGAAATGGAGAAGAGGAACAACTTGGCACCGCAGCCCTGGATGCCAAACATGTTTTTGGTTCTTGCTTCTCTGAGCTCTCAACATATTCCCACCCAGACGTGCACAAGATCCGCAGAGCTCTACTGTATTCCAGGAAATAACACGACTCCCACATCCCCCCCCCCTCGGCATTCCCTTCCCTGATAACAGAACATTTTCTATATTCCACCCTGGATTATTCCAGCTTTCAGCATCGCATGGCATTTGGAGAAATGACCTGTCGGCCCAACGCTGACAGATCCAGGAAAGGAACTCAAACTCCCAGAGGGAAATGAGACAGAATTGAGCAATATGGTGTTTTCCGACCTTTAGAGTGCTATGAATACTCTTAGTACTATACTACGATCATGGTACTCTTTGAAGCAATACTATAGTATATGAATATGGTAATCATTCAGTACCAAATACTTGTTATGGTCATTTATAGTACACTATATACAGTTCAATCATGACAACTCTCGGAAGTGAATTAAACAGCATTTGTTGATAAGAGTGGAATGTACAAAGGCGTTGTCTTGGCGGACTAGATCTGCTACGGCTGGCTTGAGTGAGGGCTACTGTCAAAACATGCACATAAATACAAGGAATAGCATGCAAGCTGCTGCAAGGAAAGCCGGGAGAATCCCGAGCAGATCTAGGCAGGTGGTGCTGGGGAAGGTGGAGGGCTAGGACCAATCACACACAGCGCTGCATTGAGTTGAGCCAGTTCAGGATGGAAATAAATCGGTTACGTAGATTGAACAAACAGGGGTGTGTTTCCCAAAAGCCAACTATGGTCGCAAGTCCCGTCGTTACCTATAGAGGTCAATGGATTTTGGGATTTTGCTATTGGGAAACACGCCCCTGATCAAGTGGCCAATTCAGCTGGCTTTAAGAGAACCAATCAGCTGTTTGGAAGAGTTTCATGACTGAACTGTGTATGTAACATAAATAATGCAGGAACAAATGTGTGTGTGTGTGTGTGCAAGCATTTTTTGGTACTCCTACACAGAAAGCCAAACAATAGTGTCTGAGCCAACTCGACAGAAACAGATACACTAATAGAAGTGACAGACAAGCAGATGTGCAGTGGAATGCACACAACAATATGTGTGTGTGTGTGTGTGTGTGTGTGTGTGTGTGTGTGTGTGTGTGTGTGAGGGACATCTTCCTTCAAAGCTGTGCGACTGTGTGTCTGCAGGAAAATATGTGTAAGTATGAATCTGCTTCTAAGGAAACTGTGAGTTGGTGAACATAAGCGTAAGACTGACTGCAAACGAAACTGGTTGTCAAATGCAAGAAATTACTTGTAAAATGGTAAATCTGCAACAAATACTTGAGTTTATGCATCAATATAGTATGGGGCCAGACAGATTTAGTCTTTTTTTAAATAAATGAATATGTTTATTCAGCAAAAATACAATAAATTGATCAAAAATGACAGTAAAGACATTTATAATGATTTATATTTGAAATAAATGCTGTTCTTTTTAACTTTCTATATTTACCAAAGAATTCCTTGAGCATCAAATCATCCTATTAGACTGATTTCTGAAGGATCATGTGACACTGAATGATCACAGGAATAAATTACATTTTAAAATATGTTCAAATAGAAGAAAAAAAAAGTTATTTTAAGTTGTATTTTTGATCAAATAAATCTTACTGATTTCAGTGTACCATGGTAATGCCATATATTCTCTAAAACATCTTGGAATATTAAAGCACCATGATATTAAGGGTAATTAATGGACAAGTATTTAATTTCTTGAAATAAAAGCAGGTCTCTATGATATCCTGGTTTCTGTATATGGCTCGTGTCCCTCCTCAAAGGGCATTTTTTTATCGGTTTTATTATCTAACAGGTTCAAATTGTAAATCTGATAGTTTATAAAGGAATAAGTCGCGTCATATGCTTGCGCAATAGTAATACTAATAGTAATGTTATTAGTAAATGTGGTAGGCTACTTTAAAATAACCATTTTTAGGACAAGGCACTATTTAAACTACTATTTAAACTAACTATCTGACTGTACTTGATAACTTCCTGTAGTTGCCAACTCATTATGCAGTGAGGAAGAAACGCTGGCACATCAGAGATAATTTTAGATTTTTGGTGTGTAATATCTCACTAGTTCATGGAGTGTATGCAGAGCATAACGTGTGAAGGAGTTGTTGCCAGTTGCCACTCTTAAATAGTGTTTCAGCGGTTCTCTTCAGCATCATTCGACCAGATAACCCCTTTGCTTGTTTACTGTACAGGCTTCTTGGATTGATTATAGAGAGCGTTGACAATTAAAGACGTTCTAGATGTTACATTAGTCTTCAGTTCAATGCATTGTTTGGGTTGATCAAACAAGTTTTCTAAAGAACTAGCTCTTAAAAGTCCTTGCTTAAAGTTCTGTGTTGAACTGAAAAATGGTGTTTGCCTGTGTGAAACATGCCACTGTGATGCCAGGGTGTTGTCAGGCAGTTGCTAAGGTGTTTAAAGCGCATAGCTATGCTAGGCAGTTGCTATGAGAGATCACTAGGTGGTTATTTACTGGCTCAAGTCAAAAGAGCAAACCAAGTCTGGCTCATGGTCCTTTTCAATGCAAGTCTCCTGGATTTTGACCAGTCTCTCCTCAAAAGAAATGGTGTGAGACAAGTAATAAATGCTTAACTGGGTGTATTGTCACAGCAGACATTTATTTCCGACAGAAAAAAAACACAA